GACATCTGTGGATGCTGACTTCACCAGCAACAGTCTCCTAGTCATGGTAATGCTGTTACGCCAAGCTCATAAATGAGGTTGCTAACCATCTCCTCTCCTGAATCCCCAATACCATCTAACTTTCCACTCTGAGTCTCATTGCTCACCACTGAATCCTGAATACTACTTAACATTAATCTCAAAAGCATTGAGAAAAGGGTACGATTTGAAGTTGAATTGCTAAAATAAAATATCGAATAAAAATAAAATGTATAAAGGATAGAATGTTATTAAAGGACATTGTTACATATGCCAATGTTTATTTTAAATGTTAAATCTGCATACCAAATTTCATGTTATTTGTGCCCTGTGCACGGTACTACCACACTGCTGACTCCTGAATACCCACCCTTATAGATCCATGAATCCTGCATACAAAAAGGGGGTTGGCAGCCTCATTAATCAGGAACCACACACACAAGTATGTCCCTGGCTGCTAACACACTTTCAGCATAAAACTACAAAGATTGTGTTATAAATCATTTTTTTATAGAATAATACAACAAAAAATACAGCTGACTTGTTTTTCGTAGGTTTCTGTAGGTTCCCCTTGAAGAGTGAGAATGGCTTTTACTTTCCATTTTGCGATTTTCCCATAATATATAAGCAAGGGGACAATTGAAATGAACCTCACACCAAGTACCCATGTGGAGAATTGAACATAGGCCTATGGCTTAATGAGCCAATGCTTTAACCACTAGACCCCAAGAGTATAATTATGGAATAATTAACTGCAGCAATGCATGGCCCAATTCCTGGCCTATGTTCCAAGTACAGTCATCGTGTTCCCTCCCCAGGTATGCAGCAGCACACCTTTCTGCGGTATCATCTAAGTGGATCCTTTGTCAGGTGTTTGTGCCACTGTAATCAGTCACTGCAAATGGCTGCCAACTGCTGTCGGCTCCTGGACCATTGCCAGGAGTTATCTTGGCACTGGTGTGAGGGAATATTGCATGATTCTGGGCCAGTCTGGTCTTTCCACCCAATTATTAACAAATTAGTTGTAACAGTTTATTTGTTGAGTTCATTTTTAAAGGAAAAAAGCTCTGCAGGAAGTTACAAATGTTTGTCCTCAGTAAGGAGCACTGTAAGTGGATGTAGAGATGCTGATAAGAGGATGTGGAAAGTGAAATGACTCCTTATTTATAGACTTAAGAAACATGCAGTTTCAAATTTCAAATCAGCCGTAGGCTGCAGAATTAGTCATTCCTTAATAATCGTCTTGTTTTATCAGTTTTGATCATGGCAGCACATACTGGGTGTGCTCCTTGGCATACAGAGTTACACAGGTATTAGATCTATTCTTCAAAGGTCCATGACAGGGTCTTCTGACTCACTGATGTCACTTCGTAATTACAATGCTAATAATGATGCAGCGTCATGTTTCACTCACTACAACTACTGCAATACCAATGAACATTTTTTTTATAGATTCATCACATTATTATTCTTGCAATGCAATTACATGTAACAAAAATTGTAAAATGTAAAAAACAACAACCATTTTTGTACAACCTCTTTGTTTTTTTAATGGGGTTTTCTTTCAAGTTTTTTATGCATCAGTGACACAAATGAATGTCCGAATGTGTTTGTGACAGTTGCCACCGGTGGGGCAGGATAGGCTCACCTTTTCATGACTACCTGTTACCATCACTTTTTGATAGTGATTCATAGACACATGTTTGTTATGTAGTTGGCATTGTGCAATCAACTCTGATTTTTGGCAGGGTTTTCTTATGAGTATGGAAAGGGTTTTGTCGCTTGTATTTGTATATGGGTTAGAGGCCTTTATGCAAATAAGCTTCTTTGTATTCATATTCTTCACTCACTACAGCCAGTGCTTACCTTCAAATCTCTCAAAGTAACCCACTGGCATTCAGATGGCCTGATCTAAGAAGGTCTATCTAATACAAATGATCACGAATCTGAAAACATGAAGCACATGAAAGGACAAGTTCTATGCAACTGTTGTGTGAACCAAGGCTGCTTTCTCCAGCATGTCTTTTATCTGTGAAACAAAATTGATATCTTGCCTAATAGATGCTTTCTCTTTCTTTGATTTCATGCTTCAAGTGAGTGAGTGACGTTTTACTCACCTTTAGATATATTCCAGCAATATCATGGCGGGGGACACCAGACATGGGCTTCACACATTGTACCCATGTCCGGAATCGAACCCAGGTCTTTGGCTTGACGAGCGAACGCTTTAACTGCTAGGCTACCCGACCACCCTGCTTCAAGTAAATAGCCATAATAGTGCGCACAACAAATTAGGAGGTGCCATCATGTTTAAGATTTGGTAAGGTGGTATGTGAAGAATTAGTCCTTCGAAATTGCATCTGTAAGCTGTTTGTTGCTATCTGATGCTGCAACCTGAGGGGCAGTGGAGTAGCCTAGTGGTTAAAGCCTTTTCACAGGTCATGCTGAAGGCCCAGGTTCAGTTCCCCACATGGTTATAATGTGTAAAGCGCATTTCTGGTGTCCAATAACATCCAACTCAATCACTCACTGTAACCTGATTTTGGACTGCTTCAATATATCTGGTTAGAGTGACTATTTTGTATTGGCATTAAACAATTATGATTTCTTTTACTGTGAGGAGTAAGGGCTTTTATATTTCATGATTATTTTAAGGATGATATGATATCACATACCAGTTTGCCTTGGCTACATGTGTTGTTATTGGTAATTTCAGTGTAAGAAATAGTAACTATCATTTCATAAATGTTAACAATCAAGTTGCCTTTAGTTTCTTTTTGTTTGATTGTTTGATTGTTGTTTGGGCCATACTTAGCAGTATTCCAGCTATATGACAGAGGCCTGTAACTAAGTCCATGTAGTCCACAAGCATAGGCTGCTGAGGATCTGTTCTAACCCAGAATTCCCACTGCTTCTTGCATGCATAGTCTCTTGCTAATGAATTACGTAACTACCTCCGTGTAAACAAACACATCAACAAAGTCCATTTCCTGGTGAGTGCAGTGGAGATGGATGCAGCCTACCCCTGTTCCGTATCATATCGGCAGCTGCTACTGCCTCTCACCCTGCCTGCTTCACAATGTTCATCTCCTGGGTGGCACCCTCTCATGCTGCGCCTGCATCAATAAGCACAGCTATAAAAGCTTGTATACCAGCATTGTATTTGTTTGTGGGGAAATCAGGAGGACCAAGTATCTGATATGTAATAATTGATGTTAAGGGCTGAGCATGCCATCTGATAAAAAATGTCGGGTGTTTTTATTCTACAAAGCAGATGAATGTCAAGTGAAGAATGGTTGGCATTCTGTTTGTTTTGTACACTATGTCAAGGAGGGAGGAGGTATGGGAAGTGAACTTTCTCTTGGAACTGCGGTTCCACTGCACGGAAGAGGATTCAGCTTCTTGATTGCAAGTGATTATCAAGGAAATGCCGCTTTCATATCAAACAAGGAAATGTGTTAGGGAAAAAAGATAAAGAAAATAGCATGATATCTATTCAATTGTAGATATTTAATCTGAAAAGAGCTTACCCAGTATTTATTCAACTGGGAATTCTTAATTTGAATATCTCTCCAGTAACCAATGTTTGTTGTAAGAGGTGGCAAAATGGAACTGGTGGTCATGTTCAAACCCTATTTGATTTGCATGGCTCATTGTGAATGGTTCATGATATCAATCACTGGTTTGTCATGTACAGATAAGTGTATTACAGGCTGCATCACTTTGCAGGAATATTGCTGAGAACAATGTTAAACAACAAACAAACATAAGCTGAACCAATAGTTTTATTATTAAGTTCATGTATTCTCAGAGAATAAGCAGTGTATATTACATGTATGGTAAATATATGTTATGAGAAGCTGGTGAATAAATAAAGGATATTGACTGGGGAATACAGCATTCTTTGTTCCTGCAATAGTCTCCAGTAAGGCTACATAATAGCGATATGGCCTATTACATCGGGATGCAGAAAAAACTATAGATATTACCATTGAGGCGGCATGTTTTGGAATCAACTGGCAGCCAGGGGTGAAACAGATAAGGCCAGATTAGATCTGACATAATATTCAAACAGATGCTGAATGTCAGGAAGGGTGAGAGACTGACAACACAATTAAACATAGAATAAAACAAAGACAGGGTTTTATTTCAGTTCAAATGTACCCCAATAACTTATTTGGTACAGGAAACTTGGTGTTTCTGGTTTCATCCTATACTACTCCACTGTGGATAGGTATGCTGAGATGTGTACATATTTATCATGTACATATAGGTGATAAGTGTGCTATGGCATAGAATGATAGGAATATCCCTATCAAAAGTTGAACATTCTGTTTTCTTGGGCCCAATGGTTATTTGTTGTAGTCCTAGATTTTTCAAGTTATCAAATTATTCTACTGGGTTTTGGAAAGAAAAATGTTATGTGAAAATGAGTTTTGTGCATATTTCAATAATTAGTATTGTAAGGTTTCGTGACTGATGGTTTATGAAAGATTCATGTTTTAATCGATCTGTGAAGATCCTGGCTAAAATAGCTCTTTAGGAACCCATGTTTGTCATGAGGCCACTAACGGGATTGGGTGGTCAGACTCGTTGACTTGGTTGATTTTGTAGATTGATGCTCATGATATCAATCACTGGATTGTCTGTTCCAGACTCATTTATTTACAGACTGCCATCATATGGCTGGAATATTGCTGAGTGCTGCATTTAACAAAAAAAGAAAGAAAGAAACAAACAAACAAACAAAGATTTTTTATTAGTTGATTTGAAGTTTTTTCTTTATTATGTTTTATCATCTCAAGCATCTGCACATGTCTGTGCCAAGCAACAGTTTATTTAACAACAACATATTTACCAGTGTGTGAATCCTTTTAGAGTACAATAAACTGGCCATATGTACTATGTCACGTTGTCTGTTCACCTCAAGTTTCATGTATTCCAATATCATGTATATATATATGCCAATGTTATGATTTCAGGGCCAAACCCTTGCCAAATCAGCTGATGGCTGCTGTCAGCAGTGTAAAAGTGAACAATGTGAAGATCGAGGGACGTCATATAAGGTAAATATAAATTTTATTATAGTGAATATTTTGGGGGATATTTTTTGGTAATGAAGACTGAGCTCACAGTTATATTAATATCCCCTAAAATATCCATGATCCCTCTGATATGGACACATCGATATGGAAGTATTGACTGCAGTGCTTAAAGTGGGACCATACTCTGTGGTTTCAGACCTTGACATTATAGGTCCAGACAATGTACTTAGTGCCGACCCGTGAAGATCCAGTCTTCAGCAACCCATGCTTGCCGTAAAAGGCGACTATGCTTGTTGTAAGAGGCGACTAACGGGATTGGGTGGTCAGGCTCTCTGACTTGGTTGATACATGTCATCGTATCCCATTTGAATGGATCAATGTCCATGATGTCAATCACTGGATTGTCTGGTCCAGACTCAATTATTCACAGACCGCCGTCATATAGCTGGAATTAAAACAACAAACAAACAAAACAAACTTAGTGCCCTGTGTGAAACTGAGACAGTGTCTCTGTGTAATTAAGGTAATTATTATCTACATCATAAAATTGATGAGACTACTAATAGTGTTTGAGCAACTTGAATCCAATTAGCTGTAGGTTCATGCTGCTAACAGGATGTTCTGACTTGTACAATAGCGTAGTGTTCATACTTATCTAAGGATCATAAAGGTCCGAGCTGTACTTGAGAAAATATAGGATGACGGCACAGCATTGTGCGCAATATATTTCCCCTATTTGTTCTGTGTACGGAGTCTTTGGTTAACATTAGGGCCAGTTTCATGTACTAAAATACACTGCTTCACTGAACCTGTTTCATGTTGATTGAGGCACCTCCCTCCATTAAAAACCGTTTTGAGAAAGCTCTTAATTCCATCAAAACCTCGGAACAGATGCAGATATAATCAAAATAACATTCTGGACATAATTTTGGGTGCTGTCAGTAGTAGTTGTGGTACTATATCTGTGTGAGTTGTCTTTAATCTTCAGTCTGTATGTCCAAACTTAGAAAGTTGTTCACAAACATGAGCTTGTTGTTTCAAGTTTAAGAGGCATTTCTTGTTTGTTGTCATGAATGCAACAAAGTTGTATCAGCTACACACATTCACACATATGCATGCAGTTCCACTTAAGTTTGTTTGTTTGGTTTACTCTAGGGATTTAAAAAAATCCAAATCTCTCCGTTGGGAGGGATAATTTGTAATTCACACTTCATACCCTAACAAGATTTCCTGATAATTCTTCTAGTTCTCAGGCTGCAAACCAGTGTGCCATCACTAAAAAGTCATTCAGTTATCAAGGACATTTGTACATTCTGTTTCTAATATCTGCTATATGTTTATGATAAGACACAGGCATTACTTAAAGTAGATGCTAGGCCATAATGTGTGCTTGTCATGAAAACCACTTGGGTTTTTCTTAAAAAGTTGGTGCAAGTAATGAAACGTAAGCTGTGTCCATAAATTTGTCAGACTTGAATATTCCACATTTTTGTATCAAACAGTGTTCTTTGAACATGTCCTTGCAAACACATACATTTTGATAACACTCATCCATTCTGTTATGACATTTGTGTTCTGAGAAATAGCATTTGAAAAAGAGGTTTGTGGTGAATGCACATATATGTTCAGAAAGCAACTTATAAAAGCTAAGGGTAGCCCATTCTGCGGAGATGAATAGAATGCTAACTGAATGCCCCCAGGTAATGCACTCTGCATCTTATTTTCAGCATGGTGAACAATGGAGTCGAGACACGTGCACATACTGTACATGCGTCAGTGGCAGTGTGGAATGTCGAACACAGCAGTGCGACACCTCCATGATTTGTCACAGAGTAAGTGGATCATATTGCACATCAAAAACACCACATGGTGCTCAAAGAAATTCCTTTTTTTTACTGGGAGAAAATGAAAACTTGTACTGTTCAACCACTCCTAATGTGATCATTATTCTTTGTCTTTTGAAGGAAACATATCTTTCTAATTTTCTTTCTTTACATTACATAACATTTCTTTTCATATATACTACTCAAAAGAAGTTAAAGAACGCCCTATTCTTTCGTATTACTTTAGTTAATCTGTAATGCCATGAGAGAAGTAGTATGAAAGAATTGGGTTTTAATTTCATATTTTGCTTGGATGAAATGGGTTTTTAATACCTTTTTAATTTTGCAGAATCAAAGAAAGATCATACGTCCTGGTCAATGTTGTCATGAATGTGTTCCTAAAAAAGGTACTTAGTAGTTTTTCTATCAGTCTGTATTTATGGTTATGGCCATACTGGAAGAAAAATATAAAATCAATAAACATTTGTAACCCCCCGTTATTGCACTCTCATATGTAGTCAAGAATTGTTTTGCAATGACAAAATTAATCAAATTTATTGCTTATACAAATAAATAAATCCATTAATTTGCTGTTTATCTTGACACAGGGTGGACTGTATGCTTCTTGTGAGTGTAGCCACAGACCATTTTATGTTGGAGGGTGGTTCTGGGATTTGTATGCAAGACTAATAAAGTTTCACGTTATTTCATTTTGCAGGCAAATGTTTGACCGAGGTAGAGCATTACCATGGAGATATTTGGAACATCAGTGACTGTGAATACTGTTCCTGTAATGAAGGGAAAGTGCAATGTCGAACTGCAGCGTGTGAACGTCTACAGTGTAAAGAGGTAAGTATTCAGATCCAAAGACATGCTCCAGTTAGTTCAGCCTGTCTGGATCAAGCTATATGCTTTTCCTTATGTATTAGTAGGGGATACATAACAACCACAGATGAACCTTGCTCCTTTGTCAACCTTGAAGAAATTGTTTTGAGATTTAAAACCAATTTGTTTTGTGATTAGTGTATTTAACACTTTGGAGAGGCTATTATTTTTTTAAACACAGAATTTACCTTTATTTACAAAGTAAATGCAATTTGATAGTTCTAAGCTTCAGCTCTTATTATGCAATTCTTTACACTATATTCACCCCCAAAAGAAACACGGATACCATACATGTTGGCTAATATATGAAGAGATACTCATATTCAACAGATATCAGATTGGTTCAGGGCACAAATGAACATACTGGTATGTTGTGTGAACCGATGCTCATGAACACATCACCTGTGACGTCATAGATCCATGACTCGAGAGGCAACATTTGTCTTGTGCATCACATGCAGCATTTTGTGATAAGAATAGGCAGTCTGTGGTACCACTTGACTGATTGTTAGTTTTGTCATGAATTGGCACACATGGGAAACATCTCTGCTTAACGTACATATTTCTCTATATGATTCTATGGTTCGCACTTCTTTTGACTGTGACCATATATATATGGATTCATCACATTAAGAGAGTCAACTTAGTTGACAAAAAATGTGAATTATTGTTGTTTTAAGATAGGATGTTTATAAATCCCCATTCCAATTTGTAAGGATTATGTTGAGAACAAAAGCTTTTCATGAATGTACATGATCTTTAATAGATTTTGCAAAAGATTAACTGTAGCCTACTGGGGGCAACATTACAAGAAACTTTTGAGGTCTCCCAGGAAAGTGGTTCAAACTAACAAAAATCCAAAGGAAATACATTATGACCTTTACATATACAAAATGATTCCATGAATATGACATAGGAGAGCTACAGAGTGCAATGGTTGTACTTTTACAGGGATGTGTTAGGTGCATAGTGCCACATATTATGCAAGAAGCAGCTGGTGTAATGCTCAAGGGATGTATCTGTAGAGAGGAGAGTGTACAAGTATAGCCGAATGATGTAATACATAGTTGCTTTTTCTGTTACTTGTCAAGAATCTTGAAGCTCAGAATGTGATAACGCCTGTACAGAAAGAGGCACTCTCATTTTGCATGTATAACATAGCTGGGGTCAGTAGACATCTACCTCTGTAGGTAATAAAGAATATGACTGTCTAACAAAGAACAAAAATTGTCACGTCTAAGAATCTTGGCTCATGCTATGGCATGTTTGGTTACATGAATTGAGCTGATAAATATAAATATGTACAGATGGATACACCATGTCTGGGATACCTGTATGTTTTTAACATATATATTTCACAATTGGCTAGATTGACCAACAAGCCACACATGTTTTATGTCAAAGCTGTTCTATTATTTGATCTGAGATTTACAAAAGCAAGGTAGGCAAATTATGTCATGGATGTAAAATAAAGTCATATAACTTAAACATGTTCAAAGTGTACAATACTCTTGCAGCATTTCTGGGTCAATGATGTGGAGTCTAACTAACATATTGTTGGAATGTTTGTTTCAAATGTTTACTTAAAGATTAACTTCAAACTTTTGCGTTTATGTGTGAAGCTAATTTATGCAAAGTGTGCATACCGTTTTTTTTACATTTATATCTTCATAAATGCAAAATATATTGAAATCAATTCTTATAAATATATTTGTCAAAAATAAAAACTTTACAGATTGTTTATTAAATCATTAACACACAAGGGGACACAGGTGGCCCAATCGTCTAAGGTGGCACAATTCGCTGTGCAGAGTTTCATCCCTTGGGCATGCCAGAAACCATCGTTAGAAATCCCGGTTCGCCCAGATTATGTTTCAAGTTTTGTCAGAACCATACGCGTGCCGGTGGGTTTCAATAAAGTGGTAAACATCTAAGACCTGAATCACTTCGGGCTTTCCTCCCACACAAGGAATATTGTAAATAATTGAAATATTATTCAAAGTGAAGGACTCACTCACTCACTCACTCACCCACCCACCCACTCATTCATGTCTTCTATCCTTACAGAATGAAGTATTACAGCAGTCCCCTGGGAAGTGCTGCCCAGACTGTGTCACCCATCGACAGTGCCAGTTTGAGGGGGATGTGTATCTGGTAGGAGTTTCAACTATCAATAACTACTCATTTGCATTTGTCAGCGAGGGCCTTATTTTGCTTCTTGCTCAACAACTGATATCCTATTGGTAACATGTATCAGTTTATTAAATTTCAATGCTGATACATGTTTAGTTTCTTTGTATGGTGTTAAACAACAAACAAACAAAGAAAACATGTATCAGCATTGATATTTAATAAGCTACTCCAGTTATTTTGTTTGACACGACAACAAAACATATGCATTAATTTTTTTTAAATAATTAAACCTAATATATTAGAGATGCCAATGTATAGGAATCGGTTTTCTATTCCTGGTATGTATGTATCCAGTTACTGGACTTCTTTCTCCCTTCATCTTTTAAACTCAGGTGAAAGCAGATTCAACCATCATCATTGCCCTGACAGATTAGTGCTGACTGCAAGCATAGCAGCATCTTGGTCATCAAACTGTGTTCTAAAGCTTCTAGGGGCGTAGGGGTAGCCTAGTGGTTAAAGCGTTCGCTCGTCACGCCGAAGGCCCGGGTTCAATTCCAAACATGGGTACAATGTGTGAAGCCCATTTCTGGTGTCCCCCGCCGTGATATTGCTGGAATATTGCTAAAAGCGGCCTAAAACCACACTCACTCACTCACTCTAAAGCTTCTACATAGTTGGATCATTGTGTTATAAAGTTTACTTTGAAATACAAGTATTCCTGTGGTGTAAATTAACATAAGAAGATTGTTGACCAGCATACCATACATATCAGTCTTTGTTGTTCCCTCAACCAGGTAATTACCTGACTTAAAGCTTCAAGGAACTGAGGCGTCTCTTTATTTATTTAACTCTACATTCCATTCTTCGTCCACCCTTATCAAATTTGGTGTCTTCAGGCATGAAATTTGCTAATAAAGTTACAATAAAACTTATGAAGTTTTTGAAGTATTTTCTTCAAACAGTGTTTTCAATATTCCCTTATTTGTATTAAAATCCCAATTTATTTTGCCCCTCCCATTTGATGGCAAACAACAAGAAATGGCCGGGTCACAATTAGGGTGTTATAAGTTAGTTATTTGACTACCAAGTTCTATCTTTCCTGAGTGGCTAATGGAAACCATTTGGATGATGTACCCTCTTCTAACAGCGTACAAACAATTGTCAGCATGAATTGTGCTTTGTCAGCAAATTGTTGAAATATGTCTTAGATTTATCATATACAAACATATGGATGGTCATTTGAATGATTTCTAAAGAGATAAAACCATTGATGAGAAAACCTATTGGAAATGGTTATTGAACTGCATCTGTTTGCAGTTATAATGGCTACATACATACACTCACACTCATTATGACATAAATCATTGCCTCCTGTATATGACAGATTTCAATACCTGTGAAGATCTAGGTTAAAATTGGTCTTCAGCAACGCAAACTGGTCATAAGAGGTGACTAACCGGATCGGGTGGTCAGGCTCAGTGACTTCGTTGATGCATGTCATTGTATCCCATTTGTCTAGATCGATGCTCGTGATGTAAATCACTGGATTGTCTGGTCCAGACACGATTGTTTCCAGACCACCATCATATAGCTGGAATATTGCTGAGTGCGGCATTAAACAACAAACAAACAAACAAGCAGATTTCAATACTTGCAGAATTTAGGAATCTATCATGCCTTGGTATTAACACCAAGCATTCTACAGAGTGGTTGCATGTGGTATTTAGTGTCATTGTGGTCTCATGTCTTCCAGGATGGGGACAGCTGGCACCCAGGACCCTGCACTGTGTGTAACTGTGAGGAAGGGGAGACAGTATGCTACCAACAGAACTGCCCAGCCTGCCCTCCTGGCAACTATATGTCCGTCCCTCCAGGACAGTGCTGTGGAACGTGTGAGCAAGGTAGGTGATCTCCAGGACAGTGCTGTGGAACATGGGGCCAAGGTAGGTCACCTCCAGGACAGTGCTGTTGAACATGGGGCATGGTAGGTGACCTCCAGGACAATGCTGTGTTGTGTGGGCAAGGTAGGTCCCCTCCAGGACAGTGCTGTTGAACATGGGGCATGGTAGGTGACCTCCAGGACAATGCTGTGGTGTGTGGGCAAGGTAGGTCACCTCCAGCACGGTGCTGTGGAACATGGGGGCCTGGTAGGTCACCTCCAGGACAATGCTGTGGTGTGTGTGCAAGGTAGGTCACCTCCAGGACAGTGCCGTGGTGTGTGGGGAAGGTAGGTCACCTCCAGCACGGTGCTGTAGAACATGGGGGCCTGGTAGGTCACCTCTAGGACAATGCTGTGGTGTGTGGTCAAGGTAGGTCACCTACAGGACAGTGCTGTGGAAAATGTTGGCAAGGTAGGTCACCTCCAGAACAGTGCTGTGGTGTGTGGGCAAGGTATTCACATCCAGGACAGTGTTGTGGTGTATGTCAACAAGGTAGGGGATGACAAATTGTCCCAGTAGGTGAAACAGGAACTGTTTGGGACAACATGGTAGGAGATGGGTGATCAGTTCCAGCAGTATGTTGGCTGAGCATACCTTTACTGTTGATCAGGAGGCATACCAGAACCATCTCACGTGGGAATTATGGCAAAAAGTGCCGAATCATGATCATGATGCCAAATATTTACATCTTGCTTTAAATTATTGGATCTTCAACAGTAGAACACAGTGAGAGATATATCACATGATGGGGGGAAATATCTGTACAAAAAATATATTTTATTACAGAATTCAGTGTAATATTTAGCTATCCCATCACAGGACTCGGAAATTTTATGGCCACTACATTGGCGCCCAGGGTGGGGCTGAGCACGTTCATATTTAATTTGACCAAAATACGTCTCAGTACCCTGCTATGCGACCCGAGATGTGTCTTCTGTTGGTGGGGGAGTATGTAGCAGGGCATGGAATCATCCCACAGATGACATCCTTACCTTGTCAGCTTGCTGATGGGGTTAACCTCTTTAGTCATGTGGCCATTCTGACTTCGGATCAGAAGGTCAATTCCCACCACAGGACTTTATGGATGCTACATGTACATAGACAACACTATTCCACATCTATTGAAGCTAATGACATTTTTGCTCACAAAGAAATGGAAACTGTATGCAATACACCTGTTGACTTGAATAGATACGCATGTCTATTGAAGAAGATGTGTAGGATATATTTCCAGTCACACACGGTACACCATTAAATTAGTTCTGTCATTGTGGACTTATCTCAATGATGTTTGAGTGGCCATTAAGCTGCATGTACAGCATGGAGACCTTAAGGAGACCTATTTGTTCACGCTCCTGGCCAGGGTTACTCAGTGTAGTGTTCTTCATGGGTTATTATCTACACAAACAGAGATGCTTTGTTTAATAAACTGCATGTCACGGAATACACACACCTAGATGGAGGGAGGGGGTTGTGTACAACTAGTTTTGCTTGTTATGTTTGCTTTTTAAGTGTTGTGTAGGTTTAGTGTACTTTACATCTTTTACTTATGTCATAATGTTTAGGAGCGGTCGGGTAGCCTAGTGGTTCAAGCGTTCGCTCGTCACGCCGAAGACCCGGGTTCGATTCCCGACATGGGTACAATGTGTGAAGCCCATTTCTGGTGTCCCCCGCCGTGATATTGCTGGAATATTGCTAAAAGCGGCGTAAAACCATATTCACTCACTCACTCATAATGTTTAGATCAAAATTATCTACTTCTTTGTACTACATCTTACATGTGGATTCACTTGTATAAAAGAGTTGTATAGTTTTGCAGACATTTTGATTTTAATGTGGATTGACATACAAGGAAAACAATTTAATTGGCTTTTAATGACAAAGGGTAAACACCATATGGTAACCCCACTTTGACACATTCTTATGAATACTTTTCTTGATAAGTTCTTTTTTGTTCTCTATCCTAAATTTGTAAAATGTGCTATTCGGCTTGGCGAAAAGGGATACCACATGAATTGAATACTCATTTTGATCAATATGAGAACATTCTCGATTTTTTAGATGAAACAAAATATTCTTTTACCCAGGTGAGTTCAGTTACCACAGAAACATGTGATATCATCTATTGGGTCATGATGTCATTGCATTCCAAAGTGACCACATAACATTCCAGAATGACATTATATCTGTACCACAACTGTGAGATACCCATGAAGATCCAGGGTGGAATCGGTCTTCAGCAACCCATGCTTGTCGTAAGAGGCGACTAACGGGATCAGGTGGTCAGGCATGCTGATTTGGTTGATTCATGTCATCGTATCCCAGTTGCGTGGATAGATGCTCATGATGTCAATCACTGGATTGTCTGGTCAATACTCGATACAAACCGCCGTCATATAGCTGGAATATTGCTGAGTGCTGCATTTAACAACAAACAAACACAACTGTAAGAGTTCATGTAAAACGAGAGTGCTACAGATTATTACTGCTAACTGATTTGTTTTCAGATAGGTATGTGATTATTTACTGAGTGTTACTGAGTATTCAATGCCAATGTCAATTTACATTTGAAACCTCAGGCAGTAATGCCGGCAGTTCCAAATAATATTTCCAGGTATCAAATACTCATGAACAACCACAAGTCTAACTGCAAAGTTTCCTTCCAGTGGAATGTGCGTCCGACTGTAGTCATTGTTTGCCTGATGATCCACAACACTGCACACGGTGCAAGGAGTTTGGTAAACTGGCACAAGATGGCCGCTGTGTTGAACAGTGCAAGACTGGATTCTACCCAACAAGGGAGAACACCTGTCAAGGTGAAATTATTGCAGTAAACATATCTGTGTGGCATATATAAGTATTGAGTGTGTACAAACCTAACACTACCTTTTGACACTTGGTTGCTGACGTGACCCAACTTTAGTGACCCAACTTTAGGGACCCAACTTTAAGGAACCAACTTTAAGGACCCAACTTTAGGGACCCAACTTTAGGGACCCAACTTGAGTGACCCAACCTTAGGGACCCAACTTTAGTGACCCAACCTTAGGGACCCAACTTTAGGGACCCAACTTTACAAACCAAAACACTCAAAGGTCTTGTGTCAGTGGAATTTCAGAATCTGTTGCATCTGATTGTTCAAGTTATAGAACCTTTTGCAATAGCCTGCTACTGTCTTTTTCTTAGAGAAGTTATTTTGAGAGAAAATAGATTGGTATTATAGATATGCCTATTTATTAAGATGCATTCCCCACATAGGTACAGTGTGTGAAGACCATTTGTGTTGTCCCCTACCTTGATATTCCAGGAATATTGCTAAAAGCATTATAAAATCCATACTCACTCACTTTGAAGATGCGCTTAAAAGTTTTATACTCAATAAGTAATATTTTCCCTTTTCTACCGACTTGCTCTTGACACATACAAGGTACATTACATATGTCAAAAATGATCAAAGACAAAACTTAAGATATATTGATTGATCTAGCGTGCTCAGTATTCACCAGATGAAGGGGCATGAAATTACACTGAAATGTTGTTTCAAACAATAAAGAAGTTGTTATCCATAAACATTTCATCTCTTCATGCTTTTCTAACTTCTAAGTGCCTATCATACACTGGATTTATCATGCTGTCAATTTATTTTTTAATCACACTAATTTGCTCCCATTAAACAGATTATACGGAAGCATTATATACATTATATTCTAATTACATGAATCATCATTTACTTCAAAACGATATACACAGTACAAACACATTAATGCCCATAAGCAACTGAACATTTTTGTCTACTTTAGCAACTTTTCAGTTTTGATCCTTTGATGTCTTCTCCTTTCATTGTATGTGTTTGGAGTAATGTGAGATAATTAGAAACAGATGAGTTATTTTTCAGAATAAACCATTCCAGTTCTTGTTTTATTAATTTTCTATGCCAGTTACTTAAGATGCCTGATTAACTAAAGGCCTGTTACAATGAAGGAGCCAAATAATTAAAATTGACAACAACATAGTTCAGGATATTGTTTTGATATTATATTTCGATTCTACCAGTACCTTTTATCTCCTTTTGAAAATGTCTTGCATGAAAGTGAAAAAGCTAACTACCTGCCTGTTAGGGTTTGAAATATGCATATTCTCATTAGAATATAGCATATATACATTTTATTTTATTTAAGGAAATTTCAGGTACAGTCATATGTGCAACAGGAAACAAAATGGCATAACCCTTAGATAAACACTTTTGAAGAGAGAAATGTAAAGATGTTTTTGAACAAGATTTTTAAGACACTGTGTATGCTAGTTATTACATACATATCATGTATATATGATTAAAACCTTGCCACACTTTCTGCTGCCACAGTGTTGAAAGAATGTTCATTAAAGAAACTAATTACGACATGTGTTTTACACACACTGTACATGTATCCTTCTACCCTCTTCATCATCAGACACCCACTTGGTGTATATAACAGTTATTATGACAGAATGGACACCTGGAGTGTATAAATATGATAACAACTCAGAGAGGTTGACTTTTAGTGTATGTGATGAAATTATAATTGCACTGCACCTGAAGCAACAAACAGAGAGTTTGCTTCAGTCATTAAAATTAATGAGAAACTGCACATTAGGTACATTTTATGAGCAGTATCCTAAACTTGGTTTGAGCAAAAGCAAAATAAGATAGTTTGGGGAAATGTGTTTTTTCGAAGTTAAAGGAAGTAGGGCACTGTGGGTAAAAAACAAGAACTGTGAAGCTGTGGCGAACTTTATATTGAATGCGTATACTAGTAAGTGTAGATAAGAAAAGGCAGGACAATGCATATAAATTTATATTGATGGTTTAGAAATGGAATTACCTGTAGTGATAAGTTATTTTTGAGATACATTAAAATTACAAGCTCCATATTATTGGTACATGTGAAAATGTCAACCAGTGCAGGCCACATTAAATTCATAGAACATCCATAATAGACTGTTACATTTGAGTGGCCATAGAAAACTTCTATTCTTGGTGTCCCTTGCTCTGATTTGACAGAAACATACAAAAGGTGTCTTAAAATCTTCATATTCACCTAGCATCACTTGTATGAGCACTGTTACTGCTAATGGAATGGTATGGCACATATAGCCTACATCCCATAGGGGCGGTCGGGTAGCCTAGTGGTTAAAGCGTTCGCTCGTCACGCCGAAGACCCGGGTTCGATTCCCGACATGGGTACAATGTGTGAAGCCCATTTCTGGTGTCCCCCGCCGTGATATTGCTGGAATATTGCTAAAAGCGGCCTAAAACCAAACTCACTCACTCACTCACTACATCCCATAGGTATAGCCTATGAAAACATGATCATGTACGCTGTTCATTAGTCAGTCTTGCGTCAAATTGGTAAAAGTATCAGTACCAAAACGTTGCTATTCTAAGAAATGTCAAGCAAACAATTCAGGATCATGACTGCTTATTTTTAGCAAGTCCTGATCTCAATTTAGAGAGTCACGCTCAGCCACTTTCTGCCACGTCTACAACATACGGATAACATTATATAACATCATGAAAATTCTGTTTCCTGAATCATTTAATGATAGCAAAATAATAATTTTGTTTCTGCAGCTTGGAAGTTCTGTAGCAACTAGTAGTGACTGACTCAATATTTTGCAGCATATGTGACTCATCATAAAGAATATTAGGAGTATTTTGGATGCAAATCATGTCACATATGCAGGAACTGCGGTGTAACTTATATATCCTCTATTGACAGCATGCCACGCCAGCTGTGAGTCGTGTATTGCTCGGACAGAGTTCCACTGTGCCACATGCCCCCCTGGCCTGCTGTGGAGGGACGGTCAGTGTGTGGACCAGTGCACATCGGGATACTACCTCCATAATGGACAGTGCCTTGGTAGGTCTAGACTAACATTTAGTCTATGAAATCATATATTACACAATACCCTTCTTGACTCTAAAATTATACAAATAATATTCCCGATGCTGATCTCATAATATAGAACTAGATAGAGCTGGCTTGACTTACTTTTGAATGCATATCTAGATTGTTTTTTTTTCCATAAAATAAATATATTCCACAGTCATGGTGCAGGACTATGGCAGATCATACTCCAGTGTATGCTTAGACTACATGTAGCGTCTGACTTAAAGATATGTATAAGGTTTAATAAAAATAATTCTATAAAGGAATCTTTGATTATTAGGGAACCCTCAAGACTCTTAATACCTAATGTTGAAAAGGGGATGAGAATGGGCTGCTGAAGTTGAGAAGGAAAACGGATGTACTAAGTGTTCATGAAACCTCAAACTTTTTGTTTGTTTGTCGTTTACTGCCGCACTCAGCAATATTCCAGCTATATGACGGCAGTCTGTAAATAATCGAGTCTGGACCAGACAATCCAGTGATTGACATCATGAGCATCGATCCACGCAATTGGGATATGATGACATGCATAAACCAAGTCAGCGAGTCTGACCACCCGATCCCGTTAGTCGCCTCTTACGACAATCATAGTTACCTTTAACGTCTAACTACAGAAGTAAATACCTATACACACCTGCTTGCCATGTCCTTAGTGATACCTTAAGTGTGACTTTTAGTAAACCTTATGGTATTCAATAATGGGGATAAATTATGACCTGTTGCTGGCCTGCCCCTTTTAGAGACCTGACTCTTATTTCATGACCTAACCTCTAGACCCAGCCCTTAATGTCTGCCCCTAATTTAGGAAATGTGGTACTTTCTATTACATAAGAAAATTGTTTTGCACGTTTTCTTAAGGTAATCAATTTAGGATTCAGTGTGTTAAGTAGAATATTTAATTCATTTTTATATTTAATTGTGCTAACCATAATTGGAATAGAAACAATACGACTTTGTCATGATATTTCAGGGTGCCACCAAACCTGTGATACGTGTGTCGGATCGGGCCGAAGCCAGTGTGTTTCTTGTTCATACACGGGACACGTGCTGTTACGAGGCCGATGTGTCGACAACTGCGGTTCAAGATACTACCTCAAGGATAAGGAATGTATAGGTAGCCATGTTTTGCCAACTTTCACCACCATAAATGGATAACTTGTAAGATACATGTTATCAGCTAAAACTATTGTAGACTTGTCTTTGTAGTCTGAGGTATATTTTCATAATTATTAAATATGCCTGCCTAATCTATAGGGAAAGTCCTATTCTGAACCAATTACTGTTGGCAATTGTTGTTTCATACATGTACCCTGCCCCATGAGATCGTTTTGTGAAATAAAACTCTATTCTATTCCATGGCTGAACAATACTCTTACTTCTCATGCATGTAGACCCAAAATCAGCTTTCATATCTGCTTCAAGACACATTTCTTACTCTGGGTAACACACTATGCATACTGTTAATCAATAGTGAATCCCTTTGATGGCTCATGATTTCAGCGTGTCCACCATACTGTAGAACTTGTCTGCCAGACAGCCCCAACTGTGCCACATGTCACAGTGGCTACACGCTACAGAATGGCCAGTGTTTTGATTCCTGCTCACGAGGGTACTACCAACATCAGGGCACCTGCACAGGTAACATTATTGTAGAGCATGTTCAAGGTTCATGTTGTAAAGTCTCACTATGGCATGGTCAGATCTTATTTGGTGAACATCTGGTACGCTGTAGGACTTCTTGAATACTGTACATCAAGAAATTAAAGTGACCATGAAATTATTGCGTAAAATCGGAACACTACTAGCATTAATTTTATTACTCGTTTTAGGCTAGAGGTTTGCAATCTCATTATATTTGGTATTTAGTTTGAAGATTTACAGTACATAATCTTCAATGCTCCAGATAAGCTGCCTATTTGTGTAAAATGTGCAAAATATATCCCCATTACCAAATTTAATTTTTTTGCGTACAAAAAGACATGAAAACTTTAGAAAACCAATTGTGTAACAACACTGCTTAATTAACCAATGTATCCTGATCACCTTGCTTATGAGTATTTCTTTGCAGACCTATATTTACATCGTACATACATGAACTCTACTGCAGTGTATATGCATAAAAAGGTGCTATGTCTCGCTTGTTGTTGATTAGACATGTATATCAGTGTTGAGTTTAAGCACCACACGAACAGATGGAAATTAGTCACCTGAAACAGCATATAACCAATTATTGTATAAAAAGACCAATTCGGTGGTGTCAAAAAACCCATTACACTTAGGAAGTAAAAATATAGTGAATCCCCAAAGTAAACTATCAATACCCAATGTGAATGATATAACTTGTGAGTAAATACTCGCATAACTCGTCATATCTAGAATGATTAACATTTCCGTTTGAATCGCAATGTGTCCAGTCACGAAATGTAGGTGATGGGGACAATTAACATGAGGACATGATAGGAGCATGAAGTATAGAGGGAGTACTGCACACATGTGTTAGTGATTTCATGCAGATTACCCAGTGAGTACTGAACATGGTATCAGGCTCTCCGTCCCAACTACACTGGGTGCACAAAGTAATAGCTGGTGTCTGGTTTCTCCTCCTAAGTAGAAGGTATTAGGTTTCATGTATTACACCACCAAATTACTTCGTCTTGCGCTCCAGCCATTGATAAAGTCAGCTGCATGAATACTTGACTAGACTGTCACGATGTCACCTGTTGGAAGGACAGAATTGTTCACTGTTGACTATGTTTGAAGGAGGCCAAGCATGAATAAATAAGTCCCGACAATAGATTAGGCCTGTTCAAATTTCCGTTGCAGTCAGATTGATTTGGAGTCATTGACTGCACCATGCACGTCTTCATTGTGCTGGTGTGTATTTTACTGCTACTTGCATATAACATCATTGACTGGCCATGTGAATGAGGCTGTATTTGGGAGCTGGGGATCAAGTCAGTGTTGGAGGAGAATGTGTGTGACCAGATTTGAGATTAGGGTGAAGTGTTCGGTGACTCTTCTGTGTTAAATGGATCTCACCTTTGGTGAGCAGGCAAAACATTTAGTGTAGTGTATCTGTGATATATCGTGAGTCAGGTCACATTAATAGAAACATTAAACCTATAGGTGTAAGAAGATGCCTATATTGTTTTGTTGAAGTGGAACATTTCACCTAATTCTATTGACTGTAACATCTTATAATATTATTCTATCAAGATAATGTAAGAAAATAAATAATGCATTCTTTTCGTATAGTTATGTCACCTTTGGCATTACGAGGATGTTATCATCTTTAAGATCATAATGTCATATTAATGTCAGTCACACAATGAAGTTATTAGAAATTCAGATAACTCCATTCAAAGAGCACATTCTATGTGTACGTCTAAGTGAGAACCAAGCTCTTAATTTGCACACTCGGTAATTAGTGTGTCTTGGTTTTGCAATCTAGTCTAAGATGAGGGTTATCTCCCAAAACCCCTACATCCCATTTCCCCTACAGCTTAAGACAACAAAGTTCACGGTCCATGGCACTATCTATCAACAGACCAATTATTATGAAAATGAAAATAGTGTGCAAACTGTGTAAATCCGTACACATAAGTTTTACATTTATAACTCCATAAATGCAAATGTATTTTGAAGTCAATTCATGAAAGAAATAGTGACAACAATAAGTTGACGGAGTGCTTATTCAATCATTAACACACAAATCTGTAGACAACACTACAAACTCTGTGACATCGTCCAGCACTATAATGCAACACAAGCCCCGTCCTTCCTATTATCAGCCAATCAGGAAACAGTTTGTTAGTGGGCATGGCCAAATGTTTTTGTCTTATGTAAACTTAGCCATAAAAAATATGCTATATTGGTACGGAATAACTTGCAATATATTTATTCTTTGTTGATATAAACTGTTATACACCAACAGAATGCCACCCTGGATGTCTGACCTGTGAAGGAAGTGGAGAGAGTCGGTGCTTGACTTGTCCCCAGGGCTACCAGCTGCAGGGCGGGGCCTGTGTATCCCCCTGCCCCACACAGCAATATATGGATACAGCTGGTAGTTGTCAAGGTAGGAAGCTGTCATTTGTCATTTCATGTAAACCTACAGTTTCATTCACTTGTATCTGATCTCCTTATTATAATATCTATTATAATATATTGGCCTTCAATTAGAATGGGTTCCCACATTCTAGTGCTTCATAAGTGAGTGAGTGAGTGAGTTGGGTTTAACGCCGCTTTTAACAGTATTCCAGTCATATCAAAGTGTGACTGTTGCTTCATAAGAGGCAAATACGTTGGATCTGGGTCAGACTTGATGATTTATATATCTGTGTCTCATCATACATGGCATTGGATGTTGCCTATTCACTCACTCACTCACTCACTCACCATTTGATTCAACCTTAAGATACTTATTAAAGTATCAAACTTACACTGTGTGTTTTCTGAACTGCTAAATAATAATATTAATGCTAGTGTACTTTAGAGCTAATTTGTTTACATCTGTTAGAAATATCTGTGTTAAGAACATGGTGATATTATTATTTAATCTCTTCCAGCATGCGAGTCTGGATGCTCCTTGTGTTATCCTGCCCGTGAGAATGCAGGCTCAGTGTGCACCAGTTGTGAGGATAGTAGACTCAAACCTGCAGGAATGGGATGTGTCCCACAATGCCCTGCTGGAACATACCTCATTCGTGATCTGTGTAAAAGTAAGTAGTATGTATTTCAGAGTTTTTGAGACATTTAGCCATCTATACATACTCAATGCATACAGAAATATGCAATACGAAAACACATAATGTCTTGGTCTATGTTAAATTACACGAGGCAATTCTTCACTGTAGTCCTGTTGAAGGTTGGACAAGGTACGAAGTGCATCTTTATTTACCCAAATGAACATTATATGTTGACGAGCACACATACATCATCTGGTTTTATCATATCATGATGCTATGCCTATAGTTTTTCAAAGACCTTCAACAGTTTTGCCCTATACTTTAGTTAATGGAAGACAGCAAGTGTGTTCATTCAGTAGTGTGTTTCAATACCTTTGCCATCAAATAATGATACATGACTGAGTGAAACACAAAGTTTAGTGGTCACTATCTTGTCAACTACTGAGGTTAAGGTCATTCCATAGTGAAGCATCAGGTTGAACAACTAACAATAAGCAGTAATGATATTGAAACAGAGTGGAATGACTAAAAGCTTTCCAACCATTTTGAAATCCTGTATGAAATGGATGCCATTGTGTTCCAGCCTGCAATGAGCACTGTGAGAGATGTGAGGGACCGTCTACCTGTTCAGCCTGTAGAGCCCCCTATGTCCTGTATGAATCCCAGTGTGTGGCTCACTGTGGACAAAACAGCTTCACCAACTACAAGAATGTCTGCAAAGGTATGTTGAGTCTGTTGTCAGATATTCTGACCAGAGAGTAGTAGAATATAGACCACAGTTGGACCTAAGGTAGAGAAAGAATATTTGTCTTTTCTTGTCAGATACCATGTTTTTCTCATGAGTGAAATGTCAAACTTTTCTTTATTTGAAAAAAAAGACAAATGTTCTACTATCATCTATTTTCTTACGAATCTTCATGATCTTTCTCATAAAAATAGTGTGTTATTGAGGCAGACTCAAAGTTGTTTTGACATAAAGTGTGATTTCACTCAAGTGAAGATCTTGTGGGTTGGAAGATATGCAAGATGTCAGAATCTGTAAGAGCAAAGGGTATACCAAGCATGGCATGTATGGTGTTTGGAAATTACATAACACAATGAGTGTACGCCTCTTTTAGCAGTATTACATCTATATCGTAATGGGTGACACCAGAAATGGGCTTCACACATTGTACCCATGTGGGGAATCAAACCCAGGTCTTCGGTGTGATGAACAAATGCTTTAGCCACTAGGCTTCCCCACTGCTCCTGAAAAAAATATGATGTGACTGTATTTATTGTGTGTATTTCTTGCAGCCTGCAAGCGCCATTGCCTGCAGTGTTCCAGTGAGGACCAGTGTGTGGTGTGTGACAGCCGCACCTACCTGCGCCTGGGCTCGTGCGTTGGCCAGTGTGGACAGGGATACATCACAGACATGGAGCTCAGGAGATGCATAGGTCAGTCTAGTCCCGTCGTCAGTCTGTCAGGTCGAACCAAGACTGGTCTGAGTAGATTTCAGTCATTCAATCCAACATATAATGGGTAATTATTACATTGTGTATATATTCCACGACCTTTTCAGTCACACTGCTCACAAGTGGATATTTTATTGGATTGATAAAAACAACCTTGTTAACTTTGGGATCGAGTGTCATGACTATTGTCACAAAAGATGGAAAATGTCTAACCCAGCTTTGATTTGGGGATCGATTACCATTGGATTAGAAGTTGGAATGAGTGAGTGAGTGAGTATGGTTTTTACGCCACATTTAAAAATTATTCTAGTAATATCACGGTGGGGGACACCAAAAATAGGCTTCACAACATTGTACCCATGTCGGGAATTCAACCAAGGTCTTTGGCGTGTGGAACAAATGACTTATTGTAATTGACAGAATCACCTGCCTTACAAGGATATTAAATAGTATAAATTTGATGGATTCAGCACTTTGGAGTGATGGAAATTACAAATGTGTCTTCTGAACATGTAACTATAAAATAATTAGTAATTAATACAATCAGGAGTAAATATATCTGTTATTTAATTCCAGCTAATAAATATCCTCCTATTCTGGATATTATGGGCCCCCTTAAGACATCTGACTCTGGGATCACGACCATCCCGTCCGACCTTGTGTTCTTGGAGGACCGTGACACCACGGATGGCCTCCTAAGCATCCTGGTGATGAGGCCACCATCGGGAGGTGTCCTGGTGAGGGCCACTCAAGGCCGAGATCAGCTGCTGGGGATGGAGGACCCCTTCAGTCTGGATGACCTTCGCACAGGGAAGATCAGATATGTCAGTGGACAGGACGGGAGGACTAGAGGTAAGCACAGTGTTCAATTTTAGTGTGAAAGTCAAGGAGCCATTGTCATTCCTCTACTGCTGAACGTTAATGATTCAGGGGTCACAAGATTGATTGTTTGTTGTTAAACACAACACTCAGCAATATTCCAGCTATATAATGGCAGCCTTTAAATGATCAAGGCTGGACCAGACAAAACACTGCTTGTCATTTGGGAAGGATGACACGCTATCAGCCAAGTCACCAAGCCTGACCATCCGATCCATTTCGTCACCCTTTACAACAAGCATCTGTTGCTGGGTTCCTATTCGAACCCAGAATCCCCGCCTGGGTGCCTTTGTACAAAGCGATCCTAGAGCTAAGGTGATCTTAACTCCCATACCTTAACACAGACTTAGGACAGTCGTAGCGTTAAGGTTGTTTTGTACAACGGCACCCAGGTCCCTAGATTCAAATACCATAGGAGACCGCAAGGACTCTAGCTGGGACCCCAGGAGCTCTTTAATTTTGAACATGGTAAGTTCATTCAGAGCCATGTAGGGAAGTCTCTGCTAATATTACTTGATTTTTAAGACAAGATGAATCATATCATGTGCTCTCTTCCTCGTAAAAACACAGGATGTTCAAAAGCTGCTGTGATATGCATCACTATGCATAACCGTGCTTGAAAATTTCCAGGCTATAATAGTTCCCCAGCAACCTATGCTGTTACACTAGGCAGCTAAATGTATTGGGTGGTCAGGCTCACTGACATTGTTGATTGTGTGGCAACATACCCAAATGGCATGAGACATTGCTCAATCCCATGTTCAGATCTGATCTGATCCAGATTTGATTATTTATGTAATCTATACGATTAGCTGGAGTATTGCTGAATGTTGCTTTAAACAACAAACAGTCAGTCAGTATGTATCTCAGAATAGGTCTTCAGCAACCTATGCTTGCTGTAAAAGGCGACTATGCTTGTCGTAAGAGCCGACGAAAAGGATCAGGTGGTCAGGCTCTCTGACTTGGTTGATGCATGTCATTGTATCCCAATTGCATGGGTCAATGATCATGATGTCAATCACTGGATTGTGTGGTCCAGACTTGATAATTTACAGACCGCCATCATATAGCTGGAATATTGCTGAGTGTGGCGTTAAGCAACAAACAAACAAACAGTATGTATCTCTCATGCTATCTTGGCAGACAAGTGTGTTGGCTTTATGTAATAAACCAAGTGCAGTATGCAATGGTTACTCAAATAAATTGTTCTGCACGCTACATTTAGTGTATGTACAAGACGCTGTACTTCTCATGTGGGGGATTTCCATTGTAGCATAGTTAGGTCACATGTTATATCTTGTCTTCCAGCCTTCAAGTATACCTTGATGACTATCTTTAACTTGTTGACATGATGTTCCAGACAAAGTTGTACTGAAGGCCACTGATGGCACCCTGTTCAGTGACCAGGTGAACCTTGAGCTGCAATCGTTCCCAACCTCTTCCTTGAGTGAAAAGCTGAACAAGGCCCTGCTGGTGGTTGGAGGGGGCAAGACTGTACTCAACAGGGAGGTCCTGGACTACGAGACGTCTGGCGACATGAACACCATCACCATCAGAGTGGTGCAGGGTAAGAGCAAGCTTTTGTCTCATTTAAGGAAGCATTTGTAGATGAAATATTTGTAAAAAGACCATTGAAACAATAATCATGACTTGCACATGAATTACATTCACAGACACGTTTGTCCAGTATGGCTACATTCCAGTATCATCTTTGAAGACCAGTTTCCCAAAATTCCTGGGAAAAAAATGACTTTTTCTATCTTATGATCTAATTTCTTATAGAATTTTCATCAGCTTTGAATATTTTTGAAAATAATTTCTACAGTCGAATAACATATTAGATTTGCATTTATCGAACTTCGAAACAGACCCTTATCTTGTTCCTGTTTTGCATACAGGTCCCCTCCAAGGTCGTCTAGTTGATCGCAGAACAGAGGCTTCTGTCACCCAGTTCTCCCTCCGAGACCTGCGTACAGGGGCGATCGCCTACGAGCACTCCAGTGACAGTACAGCCGTGTCGGACATGATGGTTTTACAGGTGTCTGATGACTTCAGCATTCTCAACACCATCATCAATATCAATGTCAGGGCAGAGGTAAGAGCACTGTATCATTATCTGGTATATGCTTATTAGAGCTCGTCCAAACTTACTCGTACCTGACCCCCTATTACCTGACCCTACCCTTTACCCGATGTAGGTCTCAAGAGTAAGGTACAAAATGTCTGATTGGGAATTGTTTAACTGTAGCCCTGTCAAAGAGTATTTAAATGATATGGTCATGCATGCACTAAAGGTTCCTGAAGCGTTATGTTATTCAAACATATAAAAGTCAGAAAGAATTTGTTAAAGAAAAGACATGCGAACAATAGTGACTTGTACTGTAACCATGGAGTTCTTGGAAGTTTTGTCATTAAACAATATATCACATGACTAAGCATGGGTCCAGGTAGTCTTGTGTATACCTGGGTCCTTAGTAACTCAAGACCCACGTGACCCGAGTACCGGAGTACCCAAATACCCGTGTACCTGAGTTACATGTCCCAGCTCTTGTCCCTATGTACTTCTAATTTTCAAACCCAGTGGGGACTCTCGAATTGCTAGTTGTAATTGACTTTGGATTGGGTGATCAGGCTGTATGACTTGGTTGATTGTGTGCCATTCCTATTCTTTCAGGTACTGTTGTGCATGGCCCTGACTTTCAGGTTAACATGTAGCTGAAATAGTGCTACTTACCGGTACACCATATCAACACACAGACTAAGCAAACCAATTTTCACAATCAGTAATTGATTTTCATAATAAATATACTTCACTACCACATGCATGAACTTCAGTGACATAAATACAAACCTATTATTAAAATAATACCTTGGTCTTGCATCCACAGTTTGTGTCAGACAGGAAAATGTGGAAGTTGTTATTGTTCCTCCCACTAAATGAACATCGTAGAAATCATTCACCAAATATGGACACCAGGGCCGGGACGAGTCCAAATTTACTACCCGGCTACCCAGCACCTTATTACCCGACCCTACCCGGATACCCGCTTTAGATATTTAGAGATAGGTACAAACTGTCCGATATGGAAAAGTTTGACCTTAGCCCTGGCAAAATGTATTTAGATACACGTGTAAAATGATCTGGTCATGCACACACTGAAGTTTTATCTGTATTCAAACATATAAAAGTAAGAAGGAATGGGTGCATTGTCAGAAAGAAATGGGAACCTTAGTAATAATTTTTTGTCATTAAACAATATATCACGTGACTAACCATGGGTCCGGGTAGTCCTGTGGGTACCCGGGTCCTAGCCAGGACCCACTCGACCCGAGTACCCGAGTACCCGAGTTACCCATCCCAGACTTAATGGACACACCTGTCATCTTCATCTGGTAACAGACATTAGGAGGTAGTTTTTCATGTCATGTTTTAACTCACAGAATAGCCGCCTGCCAGTACTGATCAACAACCGGGGAACCCAGGTGGTGTCCAGGGAGATGGTCCAGCTCTCCAAGGAGATGCTGCAAGCTCAGGCCATGGACATTGATAACGTCCGGACAGGCGACCTCATCTATACACTCATGCCATCTGTCAACAACCCCAAACATGGTACTCACACTGTCTGTACTCTCTGGACTTAAATGAAAATATTTTCAGATTTTTTTGGCGAGATTGTCTTTAAATATATGATAGAATGGATACCACAGAGTTTCATTATTTTCTTTAAAATCTCGACTGATCCAAGTATTGTATTTGCTTGGGAGTTTTCAGATATTTTTGTTCAGTGGTGGGATATATGTTTCTCCCACGTAACCACAAAGTGAGGAAATTCATCTTCTTGATTACCTTTGTTTCTACAGGAGAGCTTGTCATGGTGGTGCCTATCCCAGCAAGTGGTGCAGGTCGTGGGTGGCAGGATGTGGGGGACGGTATGATGGCTGCCAAAATGTACCGGTTCATGCAGAGAGATATTGATGAATCTCGCATCTGGTACAGGCATCTGAAGGGTGGCACAACCTCGGATGTCTTCACATTTGAGGTCAGTTGTGTTTTGTTCAAAATTTCAAACTTTGGTTTTGTGACCTTGTATTTTCCCCATTCTGTCACCCGTGTTACCTTTTATTCTTAATACTTTCCATTGTCTATAAACAGTATATCCATATCTCATTAGTTCCTTCTGTGAGGTCCTGTACTCTGGGCATCCCAGATGAATAGGTCCCAGAGGCTTGCCATGAGAGCAAAGATGGGGATTGTATGCCCACAATGGATGCCAATACAAGGGTCATCATATTGCTTGGACCATCAAGGAAGACAGGCTTGTCGATTTGTACATTGCAGTCATGACTCTTGGACCACTGTAACTCCTGTCCTAACATGAATTTGTGATAGTCTTCATGTTATTATGTGTAATTTGTGATACAGAATAGACTGGTAGTCCTTTACTGTCCTCCAACTCATGCTCTGTATTACCCTAACGCCAGGTTGATGATGTGTTTAGCTGATGCAGTCCTGCACCATGTAGAATATCAGCATTCAGTTCACTCAAAATCTAGATGATAAAATGTCATGGCTAGCTATATACTACATATGAATTAAGAAGAGTGAGTGAGTATGGTTTTACGCCGTTTTTAGCAATATTCCAGCAATATCACAGTGGGGAACACAAGAAATGGGCTTCACACATTGTACCCATGTTGGGAGTCCAACCCGGGTCTTTGGCGTGACAAGCGAATGCTTTAACCACTAGGCTACCCAACTGCCCCTGAAATAGGAAGAACAAAATAGAACAGCAAGGATTATTGTGTAGCAAAAGGTTTCAGAGAAATGCTTCTCCTCCAGGTGGCCGACACAGCAGCGCCCCCCAACATTTTGAAGGAGCAGAGCTTCCATGTGACCGTCATTGCCCAGGCTGTGGTGGAGGAACTGTCTGGCCCCACTCTGGCCCCTGGGGTCCAGCTTGGGATGACTGTGAGTAGAAGACACCCCACGGGAGTAGCCCAAGAATATGGGGGAGGTGGGGTGGATGTTGGTTCTTGAGCCATGACCAGTTGGTCAACTTCATGCATGCAGTGATGAAAAAAATGTCTTATTTAATTATACTATTTGCATACCCCTTGATAAAGAAACAGTGAAAATAACATTTTCACAGAGTATTATGTTGAATGATGAGTCGGGATGATTTGACATGAAGTGAGCTCTGTGTGTGCTCTGTGGTCATTGTGTTTGCCTTCTATGAAAAGGGTCTTTGTTTGATAGTATACATAATCCATTGGCTTCCTGTACAACAACACATCAACTTTAAACTTCTATTTATTGCCTATAAGTGCCACTCTCAAAGAGATCCATCATATCTATCTCTGTGACCTTCTTCCACCCTACACTCCATCCATATCTCTCTGTTCAGAATCGCAACTTCTAAATCTTCCGTCGCAAGTTAAACTTCGTAGTTATGGAGAGCCGTCTTCCTCTTAAGCAGCAGCATATCAGTGGAACAATCTTCCTCTCGAAATTCACAACTCTGCAACCTACTCTGTCTTCAGGACTCCCCTCAGGATCCATCTCTTCCGCCAAGCCTTTGACTGAACTTTGTTTTTGTCTCTGTGCACTTTGAGCATGGTATCCAACATGGAAAAGTGACATAAAAATAGATAATACAAATTGTTATACATTCCTACATCTGACTTTCAGTCATCCTATATAAAAAGAATGTACATGTTTTGAACAACAGATCCAAACTGAATCAATAGTTGATTTGTCTTTTTCTGCCTTAGGTGTTGGAGAACCAGATTGTGCCCGTGAGATCGGACAGTCTCCTGTATGAGGATGCGGACACCAGTCCCACTGACGTCATCTACGCCATCACCACACTGCTGGGGGAGGGGGAGGGTATGCTGGAACACATTGACACCCCCTTCAAACCTGTCCTGCGCTTCTCCCAGGATGATGTCAACAACAACAGGATTATCTACAGGCCTCCTGATACTGATGTGGGCCTCACAGTCAAGAAGGTCACATTCAGCTTTGTTGGTGAGTAGCATGGTGTCATGGCCTATGAAGCACTTCTTGTTGGTGCTGTCCTATTAAATTGTATGTGTTCATGAAACTATATGTAATGTTACATATATCACATTGTGAAACCCATGCTTGACGTAAAAGGTGACTATGCTTGTTGCAAGAGGCAACTAACAGGATCGGGTGGTCAGGCTCGCTGACTTGGTTGATTCATGTCATCGTATCTCGATGCTCATGATGTCAATGATGTCTCACTGGATTGTCTGGTCCAGATTTGATTATGCGGAGTGCGGAGTTAAACAACAAACAAACAAACATTGTGAAATGAAATGATAAAAGATGTGTATAAAAAAACAGACAATAATATAAGCAATTCATTGCTAATATTATATTTTTTACAAGATAGGTCAATCAGTGGTCATTCCCAATAATGTCATAATTGACATAATTGTGTTTGTTTATATATGGGATCATTTGTTGCAGATCTACAATCTGTAAAGGCTGAATGGAATGATACTGTGGGAATTAGGTTAATGTTCAGAACACATTTGCGAACTCTTCAATTTATGAAAAGTCTGTACCACCAGTACAAGGATATTGAATAATGTTGAATTTATGATCAACAAGGTTTAGCAAGTAGTTAAAAAAGTAGTAAGATGTGTTCTCAAGATGTTTGTACAAGTTCTTTCGATGTGTTTGTTGCCAGTCACTGATGGCGGCAGAGAGAGACGTCTTCCTGAGCAGAAGTTTACGATAACAATCAAGCCAGTGAATAATGCAGCCCCTCGCTTCCGTGTGCCCAACGCGGAGGTTACAGTTGCCCAGGGTGGGCTGGTTCCTGTGGGTTCCACCCTCGAGATATCTGATGCCGACACCAAGGTGGAGAACCTTGTGGTCGCCATCACACAGGCCCCGACTCATGGCCGACTGGAGAGGGACATCAATGGGCGCAAGGTGACACTCAGGGCAGGTCAGTATGAAGTTCAGGCCAAGTTTTAGTTTGTAGATTGATGTCATGCTTCTTGTGTCACTACGGGTTGCCAGGTTTCTAGGATTGTAGATTATAAGTTCAGAAATACCATAATTATAATCAGCACCATACCTGTGCTCTAGGGTTTCACCAAAGTGACCAGCATCTTTTCCGGCTTTCCTCCCATACTCAGTTGACACACCATAATATAACTGCTGTGTTCAAAGCAGTGTTAAACCCAACTCACTCACTCACTTGCTCATGTCAAGCTTCTCTTAGGGGTTAACTATTTTACTCTTTTTAACAGAAGATATTGAATTCAAATGAAATCCTACGTGAAAATCATATGCAGACAAATATAACAACAGATTTTAATCAAGACTGTTTTGTGGGCCATTAGTATTTATGAACAATTCTTGTGTGATTGTAAAGACTCAAGAAGAACAAGAAATTAGCTGATATAGATCATGATCTTTGAGTAATGACACAGAAACTGTCCATGTGGTCCAGGTGATGGCTTCTCCTACGGGGACGTTCAAGGCAGCCTGATCCAGTACGTGCATGACGGCGCTGAGTTCCCCCTCACAGACAAGTTCCTTGTGTCTGTGTCAGATGGCAAACACAAGGCCATCTCCACCATCAAGATGGAGGTCCTCAAGGTGGACAAGGCAGCCCCGTACATGCTCACATCCGCATCTTGTCACGTCAATGTGTCCGAAGGTAGGGAGTGTGTGCCTCTTTCAGTGATCTTCATGCTTTTATCATTAACTGTTTTGCAGCATCAGTCTGTGCTGAATACTTTGATTCTCCTAGCCGAAAATTGTCTCTTGGGATCATTTTCAGAAGATTGTAAGTTGTTAATATAGGGACAGTTATTAGCTGAGAATACTACACCAAACAGAATTTTACTAAACTGGGTCTTCAGACTGGTGGTTGAAGTCAAAGACTGTATCATTCATCTGATGTATCTATACATCTGGCTACTTCTCTTCTGCTGGGGCACAGGTGGCCCAGTCGTCTAAGGCGCCGCGATTCGCTGTGCAGAGTTGCGTCCCTTGGGCACACCAGAAACCTATGATTGTGGGTTCGAATCCCGGTTCGCCACAATTATGTTTCTAGGTTTGTCAGCACCATACCCGTGTTCGTGGTAAACATCTGAGACCTGCATCACTTCGGGCTTTCCTCCCACATTAAGCTGACACGCCGTGATATAACTGGAATACTGTTAAAAGCGGCGTTAAACCCAACTCACTCACTCACTCACTCTCTTCTGCTGGTCCAGTGAACTAGCTCCTCGCTTAGGTTGTTTGTGTCCCTGTTTGAGCAGTGCACCAAACTGATAAATTTTGTAAGGCTTTTAGTGGTTTCCCTTTCTTGACCAGTAAAATAAAAAGTGTCAAATCATACTCTCTCTAGATTCAATGTGAATACTGTGATGTGAATCCTTCAATCTCTTTATGGTCACCTGTGAAAGTTGATCTGTCCACCAGGTGGCACTGTGACCATCACACGAGACGATCTGGCATTTGGCGACAGTGATGAGTTTGATGAAGGAATCTACATTATCCTCAGTAGTGAGACAGCCCAGGGGAGACTACTCCTCAATAACATTCCACTCAGGGTTGGAGGAGGATTCTCCCAAGACGACATCAACAATGGACGTTTAACGTAAGAAACACAAACTGTTCATGCATATGCACAATGTTGATAGGATACAGACAGCATATTTGGCTCCTTATTCTTAAAGATGACATTCAACAATTAAGTAAATTCAACAATTTTGGTGAAATTTAATTATTTCTTAAATGGTTGTACTTCAGCTATAAGAGTGTTGAGGAGATAGGGAGTAGGTCCCTCACAGAACTGGTTTACTTCAACATCACAGACTCAAGTCGGAACCTGCTGCCAAGTCAAGTACTCTCTGTCCTCATCACTCCCACAGACAACCAGTCGCCACTGGTTTCTGTTGGGCCAGACCTCAAGGTGATGCACCCAGCATGCACTATTATTAGATGGGGGACCATGAACTCTATGAACTGGGGTCCATTTCTAATTTGGGTTCATAGGCTTTGTAATTAATGCCCATTGTGAACGTGAGTCTTTCTGTTATCAATGTACACATAAACTGCTAATTTGTTCTTTGTAATAAAACTTGAGTGAGTTTTGAAAAAAAATACTTTTGAATGACTTGAAACTGGATGGACTGGAAAATTTCCTGGCTTGAACGGCATCCCACATCATTCACTTTGGGATATGAAACTTCGCACAAAGACTGACATAAGTCTGTAACTCACTATGACAATTAGATCTGAACTGATCAACAATTTATCAGCTTCTTTTTTTGGTGATAAATCAGTTTTTGCTAATTACCGCCCCTGTGGTGATGTCGGGTTAGAATAGCTCCCCAGCAACCTATGCTGGTCATAAGAGGCGACTTATTGAATTGGATGGTCAGCCTTGGAGACTTTGTTGATAGTGTATCATCATACCCCGACGGCATTGATCGTTGCTCACAATATCAATCACTGGCATGTCTGGTCCTTACTTGATTACCTACAGTCCGCCACCTTATAGCTAGAATATTGCAAGTGTGGCATTAAACAACAAACAACACATAAATTACTAAGATCAATAACATGGGGTTTCTCTTGTACAGCATTAGAGCAAGACTAACAAAGACACTGTGTGTGTTACAGGTGCAAGAAGGTGGGCGTGTCCTGCTCACTGTGGATTCCATCAAGGTGTTGGATGTAGACAGCCCTCTCGCCTCCCTCATGGTCACCATCGAGTCTCCACCAAGCTTTGGGGACATCCTCAACACAAAGCCAGGTATGACTGTCACAGTACAACTGTGTACTTACTATATTTCAAGGGGAGATTAGTCTTAACATACCCATAGACACTACTAGCAGAGCTCTTTCATATGAAATTATGAACCAGGGAAATTAGTTGTCTTGTCAGTCAAATTTTGAATCCATATAAGAATTTTTGGCAAGAAGGTGAGATAGTGTTATTGGAAAATATATGCTAAAGCCTTGTATGAAGTTTTTCTCCACCAGTTGAAGGATCTGAGAGTCACCCTGGCCGTGTAGAGAAGTCCATGGCGTTACTATAGACACATTGTCCTATTTGTCCACCAGTTGAGGGATCAGCGAGTCACCCCGGGCGTGTAGAGAAGTCCTTCATAGCGTTACTATAGACACATTGTCCTATTTGTCCACCAGTTGAGGGATCAGAGAGTCACCCCGGGCATGTAGAGAAGTCCTTCATAGCGTTACTATAGACACATTGTCCTATTTGTCCACCAGTTGAGGGATCAGAGAGTCACCCCGGGCGTGTAGAGAAGTCCTCCATAGCGTTACTATAGACACATTGTCCTATTTGTCCACCAGTTGAGGGATCTGAGAGTCACCCCGGGCGTGTAGAGAAGTCCTCCATAGCGTTACTATAGACACATTGTCCTATTTGTCCACCAGTTGAGGGATCAGAGAGTCACCCCGGGCGTGTAGAGAAGTCCTTCATAGCGTTACTATAGACACATTGTCCTATTTGTCCACCAGTTGAGGGAACAGTGTCACCCTGGGCATGTAGAGAAGTCCTTCATAGCGTTACTATAGACACATTGTCCTATTTGTCCACCAGTTGAGGGATCTGAGAGTCACCCGGGCGTGTAGAGAAGTCCTTCATAGCGTTACTATAGACACATTGTCCTATTTGTCCACCAGTTGAGGGAACAGTGTCACCCTGGGCATGTAGAGAAGTCCTTCATAGCGTTACTATAGACACATTGTCCTATTTGTCCACCAGTTGAGGGATCTGAGAGTCACCCGGGCGTGTAGAGAAGTCCTTCATAGCGTTACTATAGACACATTGTCCTATTTGTCCACCAGTTGAGGGATCAGAGAGTCACCCCGGGCATGTAGAGAAGTCCTTCATAGCGTTACTATAGACACATTGTCCTATTTGTCCACCAGTTGAGGGATCTGAGAGTCACCCGGGCGTGTAGAGAAGTCCTTCATAGCGTTACTATAGACACATTGTCCTATTTGTCCACCAGTTGAGGGAACAGTGTCACCCTGGGCATGTAGAGAAGTCCTTCATAGCGTTACTATAGACACATTGTCCTATTTGTCCACCAGTTGAGGGAACAGTGTCACCCCGGGCGTGTAGAGAAGTCCTTCATAGCGTTACTATAGACACATTGTCCTATTTGTCCACCAGTTGAGGGATCACAGAGTCACCCTGGCCGTGTAGAGAAGTCCATGGCGTTACTATAGACACATTGTCCTATTTGTCCACTAGTTGAGGGATCTGAGAGTCACCCCGGGCGTGTAGAGAAGTCCTCCATGGCGTTACTATAGACACATTGTCCTATTTGTCCACCAGTTGAGGGATCTGAGAGTCACCCCGGGCGTGTAGAGAAGTCCTTCATAGCGTTACTATAGACACATTGTCCTATTTGTCCACCAGTTGAGGGATCTGAGAGTCACCCCGGGCGTGTAGAGAAGTCCATGGCGTTACTATAGACACATTGTCCTATTTGTCCACCAGTTGAGGGATCAGAGAATCACCCCGGGCGTGTAGAGAAGTCCTTCATAGCGTTACTATAGACACATTGTCCTATTTGTCCACCAGTTGAGGGATCAGAGAGTCACCCCGGGCGTGTAGAGAAGTCCTCCATAGCGTTACTATAGACACATTGTCCTATTTGTCCACCAGTTGAGGGATCTGAGAGTCACCCCGGGCGTGTAGAGAAGTCCTTCATAGCGTTACTATAGACACATTGTCCTATTTGTCCACCAGTTGAGGGATCAGCGAGTCACCCCGGGCGTGTAGAGAAGTCCTTCATAGCGTTACTATAGACACATTGTCCTATTTCCACCAGTTGAGGGATCAGAGAGTCACCCTGGGCGTGTAGAGAAGTCCTTCATAGCGTTACTATAGACACATTGTACTATTTGTCCACCAGTTGAGGGATCAGAGAGTCACCCCGGGCATGTGGTGAAGTCCTTCACTGTCCAGGACCTGGTGGATGGTCATGTCTACTACAGCCAGAAGGACCACAAGAACAAGGAGCCAGTGTGGGACAACTTCCTCTTCTACGTCAGTGATGGCGTCAATGTCTCCCCACAACAGAGGTTCAACATCTCCATTACTGTGAGTGTCCAGGGGTCATGTCAGGGTCATATAAGTGCAATAATCTCGAATGAGATTTTAAAACCGATTTCACCTCATATACATGCATACAGACAGCTGCATGCACGCACACGCCTGCATGCACACACACACACACGCACACACACACACACACACACACACACACACACACACACACACACACACACACACACACACACACACACACACACACACACACACACACGTGAAGATCCGTGGTCTTCAGGAACCCATGCTTGCCATAAAAAGCGACTAAGTTTGTCGTAAGAGGCGACTAAAGGGATCAGGTGGTTATCCCAATTTTGTGGATTGATGCTCATGATGTCAATCACTGGATTGTCTGGTCCAGACTCGATTATCTAGAGACCGGCTACATATACCTGGAATATTGCTGAATGCAGAACGCGCACGCACGCACGCACGCACGCCTATGAAACCTGTGTATTTCATACTGAACGACAAAGACACAGATATATTATGTTGTATCAATCTGTCTATGTTTGACACTGTACTGAAATTATCACCATGCTTTGATGACTGGGAACACTTGCATCATCACCCTCTGTGTTCCCCGCAGCTTGTGAATGATGAGCAGCCTCACATCATCACTGAGCAGCTGTTTGTCCAGGAAGGGAAGGCCGTTACTCTCACCAACGCTTCCATGTACGTCATCGACATCGACACAGCCCCAGAGGATCTCTTCTTCACCCTGCAGATTCCCCCATCACATGGTTAGTTTGGACTTGTCAGTAGTACACTCTATTGCACATAAATATCTGCACAATAGATTCATTCAGGACCACAGGACCACACATTGTACTATAGGCCTTTGGCCTCATAAGTACCATGAATAAAGATTGATTGATTGATTGATTGATTGATTGACCACAGGACCTTCTGGAAATATTATTTTCATCACCTTAAATCCCACTTGCATAGCTGCCAACTGTCCCATTTGTTTTGTATTTAAAATAATATTTTTAAACATGTACACTGGTCTTGACCGATCCTACCAGCCCTGTTGTACTGTTTTCCAATATGTTTGATTCAATATGTGAGAGTGCCTGACTACTGGCACAATGTATTGTCATTCACAACATTCACAGACAACATTCACAGACCTGAGGTTATGTTTCAGTATTGTTTCTCCAACTGAGCAGAGCTCTACATGTCTAAGTACCTTATGTCATGATTTGTCTGATAATTGCAGGGGCATTGAGAGTAAAGGAACTACCAAACGAGCAACCTTTCAATGCTATGGCTTTGCCCGATGGAGCCATCTTCTCATACGAGGTATGGACAAAACAGTACCTGGTAAAACCATAATATATACAGGCTTGTGGTAATAAAAACTAATAAGGGATGCATAGAACCACTTGTACCCCGAGTGATACTGCTACAACAAATTTATCTTACCGACATGTTTTAATATGACATTGTTAAAGAATTAAAAAACAGCTGTTTGATTGAGCTTGTGCTATGTCACTTGACTTTCACTGACTCGGAAAAAGCATGCAGCTTTTTGCTTCGAAGTGGGGTATAAGGGATTTATTCTCCCTCTCAGAAATCCATGTTCAGCCTGTCTTGTTCATGGCAGGGTATAAGGGATTTATTCTTCTGCTGATGAATTTATTTCCTTCTAAGGCAGAATACATAGTATTTTATCAAGATCACGTGCACCAGTCAGATCTAATCATTCTGACATGGAGGTGTATGATAAGGAATTATATTGAAACATTGTTGCATAACTTTCATACAGACAAAATTTTATGCTAAAAGAATAAATCCCTTTGAAATACTGTTACCTTATTTCCAACATGTTTAAAGTAACATTTGATGAAGCTATCCATAATTGTTTTCTTTTGTTTCTCTATTCTCTTTATTGCTGTATTTCCAGGATATCCTAAATGAGCTGATTGTCTACACCCATGACGACACAGAGGCGATGACAGACATGTTCACCCTCCATCTCTCCGATGGGGACTTCAATGACACCAAGTCTCTGAACGTCATCATTGGCTTGATCAATGATGAGACGCCCAGGATGACCATCAACAGAGGCCTCAGGATACAGTCAGGTAGGAGGGAATGCATAACCAGCAGCCCCAAACACAGAACTGTGGTAAAATCACTATTATGAAGAGGCACTGTTTTGACTGTTTTGCTCAGTTCAATTAGTTCTTGGGCAAACTGTTTCCAATATTTTTGTTTTGCGAATGCGTTATCTGATACAGTGACACCTCGTTAATCCAGATGGTATCGTATCCATCAGTAAAATCAACCAGATGATTGCTTTTCTGGATTAACTAATCATTGGTATATACATGTATGTCACGCTGAAACATGTTATGTTACCTAAAGTAATTGTCTGGAAGTCGAGTCTGTGGACTAACAAGGTCCTGATTAAAGAGGTTTCACTGTACACCCACTGATAAAAAGGAATTTCACAAGAAAGTCAAATATACATGATTGAACCTTATCATTTTCTAAATCTAAATCCCTCTTGCCTAATGCTTGTACAAGCTCAGGAACTTATTATTTAATTCCTTCTTTTCACTTCTGAACTCAGGCTCTACAACCCCCCTAAGGCCCCACATCCTGAAGGCAACTGATGTTGACAGTGACGATGCTGCCATCATCTACACCCTACGGCGAGACCCCAGTGCGGGGCACCTGTTGTACAAGAAGGGTGGGACCCAGTATCGGCTGTCTTCAGGGGGCAGGGCCAGGTCCTTCACCCAAGCGGACATTGATAATGGTATGGATGGTTGTAAAATTTGTAACGCTAACTGTACAGGAAGGATTTTATTCAAACCTCTTACATATGTAATTCAAACATGATGGTGAGAGGTGTGAAGGAAGGTAGTGCCATTTAAGTGGTCTATATTGTTACTTTGATAATTGTAAATATCTTTTAATAGCAGAAATGAGCAGCAGAAATTCTGAGTTTATATATTGACTTTTCAAGCAAACAGATTGGTATTATCTCTCCATTTGATGACTCTGTGTCAAGTTTGGCTTGAAGTCTGATTTTGCACTATCCTCACCACTTGAAATGGAATAATGAAATATTGCAGTGAATAATTAACGAAGAAAGCTTCCTCGTCACTCTCCTGCTTAAAAAAACCCATCAAGACCCACCTGTTCAAAAAACACTCCCACTGACTATAAGTTTCATTGTAGCGCACAGAACACTTATGCACAGTGAATGATGCGCTATACAAATGCATAAATTATTATTATTATTAACGCTTCATGTGTGGTAATATTTATAAGTGAAAAGAAGCCATTCTGCTGATAAGGAATATTATTTGTAGAATTGACAAAAATTGCAATGGTCGCTTTTGCAAAAAAATGTCCTTTTTTTTTTTTTCGATAATCATCATCATTGAGTTTTGATCACATGGTTACAATCTGGGTAACAATCAACCGTCAGGTGACTGCGAGCAGTTATATATGTAATATTAATAAATCATCGCAATATTTTGTGATTCCATTTCAAGTGGCAAGGACAGTAGGCTAAACTGAATTTCTTAGTGCTGTTCTGAAATATCCATGTGGTCGTGTTCCAGGCTATATCCTGTACAGCCATGAGCTTGGGGATCCCACGGGGAACATCATCTTCAAGTTCAAATTGTCAGACCCGGAGGGCAATGAGCTCATCGACCAAGATTTCTACATCACTGTGCTAGGTATGAAGAATGTACTTTTATCCAGCTTATAAGGTAAAGTAGATGTATATTTGGTAAGAATGTTGCAATTATATTCATGTTTGTCTTTTGCTATTCCCCAATCCACACTTTATTGAGTGTAGCCCAAGAAGTGATAAGAAACTATACAGTTGCTCATTTACTTACAAATTCATTTAACTTTCCCATTCACTCACTCATGCAAAATCCCCATGAAGATCTGGTTAAGAATGGGTCTTCAGCAATCCCTGCTTGTTTAATAGACAACTAATGGGGTCAGGCTCGATGATTTGGTTGATGAATCTCATCGTATTCCAATTGCGTACATCGATAATCATGATGTCAATCTCTGGATTATCTGGTCCAATCTCAATTACTCACAGACTGTCATCATATAGCTGGAATATTGCTGAATTTGGTGTTAAACATTAACAAACATAACAAACACAACCAGCTATTTATGATGTCAATCTCATGATTGTCAGGTTGCTTATTATCCCCCGCCGCGCGAAAGCGCGAAGCGGGGGATATAGTATTCACGACCGTCCGTACGTCCGTCCGTCCGTCCGTCCGTCCGTACGTCCCACCTGTTTGTTGCCGCGATATCTCAAGAACTAAACACTGGATTGTCTTCATATTTGGAACTATGGTGTATATACAGACTCCGCAGACACCAGTCGGTTTTGGTGACCTTGATCCCATTTTCAAGGTCACAGCAGACAAATCTGCTTTTAGAGTTGGAAAACTGTGTTGCCGCGATATCTCAAGAACTAAACACTGGATTGTCTTCATATTTGGAACTATGGTGTATATACAGACACCGCAGACACCAGTCGGTTTTGGTGACCTGGACCCCATTTTCAAGGTCACAGCAGGCAAATCTGCTTTTGGAGTTGGAAAACGGTGTTGCCGCGATATCTCAAGAACTAAACACTGGATTGTCTTCATATTTGGAACTATAGTGTATATACAGACTCCGCAGACACCAGTCGGTTTTGGTGACCTTGATCCCATTTTCAAGGTCACAGCAGGCAAATCTGCTTTTAGAGTTGGAAAACGGTGTTGCCGCGATATCTCAAGAACTAAACCTCTCGATTGTCTTCATATTTGGAACTATGGTGTATATACAGACACCGCAGACACCAGTCGGTTTTGGTGACCTTGACCCCATTTTCAAGGTCACAGCAGGCAAATCTGCTTTTGGAGTTAGAAAACGGTGTTGCCGCGATATCTCAAGAACTAATCGCTGGATTGTCTTCATATTTGGAACTATGGTGTATATACAGACACCGCATACACCTGTCAGATTTGGTGACCTTGACCCCATTTTCAAGGTCACAGCAGGCAAATCTGTTTTTGGAGTTAGAAAACGGTGTTGCCACAATATCTCAAGAACTAATCGCTGGATTGTCTTCATATTTGGTACTATGGTGTATATGGCGGGGGATATTTCGTCACTCTGTGACAAATACTTGTTTAGACTGTCATCATATAGCTGCAATATTGCTGAATCTGGCATTTAACATAACAAACCTAACAAACAAAACAGGATTGGTCCAAAGAACAGATATTTTGGAATGAACATTTAAGATGGTTTGAGTTTTCCTGTTGTCACCTTTGGTGTGTGTTACAGAGGACCGGCAGCCCCCAGTGGAGCAGGTGAACAAGGAGCTGACTGTGCAGGAGGGCCGCAGGAAGAAGATCTCCACAGCCTTCCTCTCCTACACCGACGCCGACTCTGAGCCTGGGAGCCTCAAGTACACCATCTTTGAGGGGCCCAGTCTGGGGCACTTGGAGCTGACAGGAGAGCGAGGTAAGGGGGCATCAAAGGAGCTGTACAGTAGATTTATAATATAAGTTGTCTTCATGTAAATTCTTGTCAAGTTTTCTCAATGTGTCTGGGGCGGTCGGGTTGCCTAGTGGTTAAAGCGTTCGTTCGTCATGCCAAAGACCCAGGTTCGATTCCCGACATGGGTACAATGTGTGAAGCCCATTTCTGGTGTTCCCCGCCGTGATATTGCTGTAATATTGCTCAAAGCGGCGTAAAACCATACTCACTCCTTCACTCAATGGGTCATGTGGACACTGGACAGTAGAAATTACAGGTAGCTAGTGAAATGACTGTTAAATATGTACACTTTTTGTGTGTGACTATATTGTACAACAGGTATACAGTTTGTGAAGCCTGAGATCAAAAGATTTAGGATGTAGCTTGATCAAAAGCATACATTTATAAGTAATCATAAGCTACATCATAATTATACTTTTAAATCATATGATATAAGTATTCATAAGCTGTATCATGATACTTTCATACTGACATGCTCTCTCTTCAGACACCAGGTGTCTGTGGTTTACACAGTTTGTATCCTCAACAGATATATACTTTCTGACATGCACTCTCTTGTGACACCAGGTGTTCCCGTGACCGAGTTCAGCCAGGCTGACCTGGCTGCCCGTAGTGTGGTGTATGTCCACACCAGCCCCCTGGAGGTCTACATGGACAAGTTTGCCTTCTCTGTTACTGACGGGGCCAACACTGTAAGATATGCACAAACTCTGCTCTTTGAGAAAAAAATATTATCTGAAATATATGGAGGCATCGGTTACATTGACATATCCTAATATTCAGTTATATCAAATTTTTTTTGCAAAACAGAGTGCCCCTTCATTTGGAATATTATGTGATGACACTGGCAGGAAATGAAATCTAAAATGTAGGTACCGGGTATTGTAACAGTATGATGTTCGTTGTGACCTGAGAATAGGACATGTTTTGTCTCTGTGGACTGTGATAAGTTACTTATGTTGTGGTTTGTCCAGATGGTGAAGACCTTCTACATCACCATCTCCCCTGTGGATGACGCCCTGCCGATGGTCACCAACAGGGGACTCTCTGCTCAAGAGGGTGTCAGGAAACTCATCACAGAGTTTGATCTCAAGGCTACGGATGATGATACCAAGGTAGATGATTCTTATGCCCTGTCTACTGACCAAACACTAATATGCCTATGCCACGATCAGCAATGTTTCATTTTTGTTGTCAGATTTTCAATATAAGACATGCTTGCAATTTGTTAAGCAATTGTCCCAAGATGGTAAATTCAAATCTGGTGCAAGTTTTGATATTATATCCTATGTTTAGTTAGAAATCCACAAGTATCTCAATGTTTTAAATATACATCACAGGAAAGTGAGGTGATCTTCAAAATCGTGCAACCCCCTGTTCATGGCACAGTTGACATGGCAACACGGGAGGAGATATTTGAGTCAACAGACAAGTTCAGCATGGAGGACATATACGAAAACAGGATCAGCTACAAGCATGATGGCAGTGAGACACTGGAAGACAACTTCTCTTTTGTTGTCAGTGACGGCACTAACGACAAGTTTGTCATGCTGGGAGACCAAGCAGAAATTACTGAGCCTGTCACTACTCCACAGGTAGGACACATCATTAATATCACTACTCCACACGTAGGCCATAACACTAATAGCACTACTCCAAAGGTAGGACATATCACTAATATCACTACCCTACTGGTAGAACATATCACTAATATCACTACTCCACTGGTAGGCCATATCACTAATATCACTACTCCACAGGTAGGACATATCACTTATATCACTGCTCCACTGGTAGGACATATCACTAGTATCACTACTCCACAGGTAGGACATAACACTAATAGCACTACTCCAAGGGTAGGACATATCACTAATATCACTACCCCACTGGTAGGACATATCACTAATATCACTACTCCACAGGTAGGACATATCGCTAATATCACTGCTCCACAGGTAGGCCATAACACTAATAGCACTACTCCAAAGGTAGGACATATTACTAATATCACTACCCCAGTGGTAGGACATATCACTAATATTACTACTCCACAGGTAGGACATATCACTAATATCACTACTCCACTGGTGGGCCATATCACTTATATCACTACTCCACAGGAAGGACATATCACTAATATCACTACTCCATAGGTAGAGTTTAGCTGGGAGGACATATAGGTACATCTCGTATCAGTACCCCACATGTAGGCCGCGTTGCTGATGTTTGGAGGAGAGCCTTGTAGTGAAGACATGTACTTGTAACAAGCTACTTCGTTACTTTGTTGAAATTTTTAATTTGTTGGGTAGTATTATCCACAATTTAAGGTATTAGTAACACAGGAATGTTTATTAACTGTAAGTATGTGAAGAATATTGTGAAAATGACAAACTGTCATATTTCAGGACTTTGAGATCAATGTGCTGGCCCTTGATGATGGCAGTCCCATCCTGGAGACCAACGTGGGTTTGCAGTTCCTGGAGTTCTCCGGGTCAGAGGTGAGATGCTGGTCAGGACATAATGCCTGCTAACACTCTCGAAAAACAATGTGATATCCTTGGTAACGATTGATGTGCACTGGATCCAGAGGGTGGTGCAGGGATGTGCACCAACCTTTTTTAGATACCTTACAACTTACCTGCATCCTCAGCAAGTCATTTTGTGACTTGGGTATTATGTGCACCCCATTTTTCAAAATCTTTGATCAGCCTCTGATATGGTTGATCAACCCAACCATAACAGATATTGTTTCATTTCAGCAGTGCCAGATTACTCTTCTGCTGTAAAATAAATGAAACATACATTTTTGGTACTAATGTGTGTTTACTTTTTTATCAATGCTAATAAAGTTTAAAAGTTTAATATAGTGAACACAGGCACATATGTGTAATTGTAGTGTAGTCCTTAATGACACAATGTTGCTGCTGTTGCAGGTGTCCAACCTTATCACCAGCAGAGAGTTGAAGTCCACAGATGAGGACTCCCTTGTGGAGAACATCGTGTATGTCATCAAGAAGTCCCCCAAACATGGACGCCTTGAGTACACCGCCAATCCAGGGGGCGCACTGGGATCCTTCACACAGGGTATTGAGTAGTTGGACTGGAAGCAAACTATACTACTCAAAAGAAGTGAAGGAACAGATTTACTGTAGTCATATGAAATAATCAGGTGTTCTTTAACATCTTTTGAGTAGTATATATGTAGAGAATCTTGTCATGACAGGATAACTTGGAAGTGATGGAGGAACCTTCACCTGTATAAACTCTTTTCTTATTTGAAGAAATTATAATCTTTCTGTCATCTCCTCTTAAGAAAGGATTATGACACTAAGTTTCTTTAGATACCATTAGTAAGTGTAGCACCATTGTTCTGTGTGTCCTGTGTAAATAATTCAGATGGAGTCAATGACCCATCTTTGACTTGTTTAAGTTAATTGTAGAAACTTGTATCTAACTGGCGTGTTCACAAATTAGAGTGTTGGAACTAGTACATATGCTGTTGCTTGTTTGCAATGGGGGTACAGTTTTTTATCCAGACCTGCTCAGAGGCTGATATTCGGCCCCAAGTCAACAGTGAATGTCAGTAATAATTCCCAAATTAAGAATGGAGAAGTTCCAATGTCATGTTTATACCTATACCTTACAGTTAAAACTATTGTGATGGTTGTGTAAAGGTGTCTTGTATTTCACCGATAACAAGGCCAATAGAGAAGAGGCTTTAATGTTTAGGCAATATACAATCTTAAAAGACCCCTGAAGACAATTTTTTCCCAGTTTGCTTTCCAAGGGCAGTTAGTTCAGAATCTGAGATAAATCCTTTGGTTAGTTGTCAAAAGGTTTGTGTGTTTATTAACTAGAGTATAACAGGACTGGTCACTGCATGAACCAATTCTTGATGTGTTCATTCAGGATCCAACAAATGATACACTACTCACACGCTTCTCCTCTGTTATCCAGATGACCTTGACACTGGCAGAGTTAGGTACGTCTTGACTGACCAGACTACTGGGTATCAGGACAGCTTCACCTTTGACCTGATGGATGCCAAGCCCAATGTGGTCCCTGGCAACGTGTTCCACATCATGTGGTCAGTGATCAGCTTCCAGCATCCCCTGATGAACGTGTCGGAGACGGAGGGACTGATTCAGGTCCCAGTCACACGAGCTGGCAATCTCAAGCAGGTGGGTCATGTTCATAACTGGCAGCCATTCCAAGGACAACAACTAATGTCGAAGGGTTTCTGTTCATGTAGTGAAAATATTCCTTTGTGCTATTTTCTCTTGGCAAATTATTACCATGGCACAATTTTAACCTGAAATTCTTTTCCATGACCAGGGATTTTGTTTCCCCTCATTTTCAAGTGTTTTAGGTCTGGTATAAATGTCCCAGTGAAAATGTTCCCTATGCGTGATTTATTAATGTAAATCTGGACCTTAAATAAGAAAGTTGATTTCCTTGCATCAATGAAAATTTGTTCCACATGCATGTGCTCAATTTGGCAAAATTTGTCCCGGATAGAACTAATTCCATGTGGAACTGATCATCTTACCCACTTACCCAATTGTCAATAGAGATTAGATAGAGAGGGTCTGTACCCACCAAGCTAAGTAAAGAATGCATAGCAAGGTGGATCCTAGAAGATGTAAAAGGAATGGATGAAATGTCTGCCATGAGAGGAAATGGTTCTTGTGATTCTGTAGAAAAAAACTGTCAAAACCATTCCATTCGGCACCCTGTGCCATGGAATTCCAGTGCAAGATGTGTCACCATTACCCCATTCTTATCATAAAATCCAGTAAAAATCAATTGACTAGTAGCATCTGAGGGCTGTAATTCTGAACCAGTTCTCAATGCTTCAATTTTGCTACAAATTGGAACTGAATAAAACTGACAGAAAATGTAAACATAGTAAATTGCTAACTCAAGCAGGACTAGCTAAACACTTTAAAGACTAGTGAAATTACATTTCCACTAGTCCTCAGGACTAGTTTTAACAAAATATAATTCTATGGCTACACTCAGTCTCACCATTATTTGAGGCCTTGTTGCTCTGTGTTCCAGTACTCCATTGTGACCTGCAAGACCATACCTGGCTCTTCCACATCTCTGATGATTGGGGCTAAGCCAGGAGAGAAGGATTTCATTGAACACTCAGGACAGGTCAGTGATCATTCCTCGCAAGAGATGTTGAATGGAAGGATGAAGATGTTAATTTGTATGATCTTCAGCATTTGTTCAATAATCTTTGCAATTGTTATGGTAAATAGTATTTAATATTACTATGTTTATTGTAGGTTCAGTTTGATGAGTGGCAAGATTCCAAAACATGCACCATCATTATCAACGATGACTCCATCTTTGAAGGCCCTGAAACCTTCTACATAGAGCTTGTCAGTCCCTCCTATGCCCTACTTGGAAACATTGCCAAGATGGCTGTCACACTGGTTGATGCAGAGGATGGTAAGAAGTTCGCAGTTGGCTATCTTCAGAACGTTGTCTTCAGTAGAGAGTTATATGTTGATGTGGTACAAAGTGATTAGTGGGCTTACTTTAGAAATCTATTTTCAGAACCAACCATCCAGTTTGAGAAGGGCCTTTACCATGTGAATGAATCTGATGTCTATGTGATGGCCAAGTTGACAAGAACAGGTACGAGTCCTTTTTGCACCAGAAGCATTGGATTCTTTGTTAACTTTTCATAAAAATGTGTTCATCTTTTACATCATCATCATCATCATCATCATCATAACAACAACAACAACAACAACAACAACAACAAAATATTCGTTCAAGTTGATAGAATATTTATCTTGAGGCATATATACTCAGCATCATTATTTAAGGGACACCTAGGTATGTAGGTGTCAAACATCAACATATGCTAACAAGCATAGATAGGTCTGAGTATTTTGACAATGTGATTAACAGTTGAAGAACATGTTGTTTATACCTATGTCACATTGATTGGATGTTTTTATGAAACGGGACAAATGGACATGGACTATTAAGAACAATTAAAAGTGAAAGTTTGAGGGTGATGGAAAAAGCTACCCAAAACACACCCCTTAATGCAACCAGTGGTTTAGCCCATGCATGTGCAATACATGACAAGGCACAGTCAATGTGGGTATAAAATGGATCAATCCAGATGCAACTTAACTGCACTCTTGGAAGTTCAAATTGCAACATTTTTTAATTACTTTTATCTCTATTTTCTGTGTGACCCCTCAGTAATGAAGCTGAGTATGCATTATTAGAAATTAAAATGGAAATTATTTAGATAACCAGGCCTTAAGAATGGTATGATTGACAATTTTTTTTATGAAATTCAACAAAGCATGGTTCAACTGTGGTGAACTAAACCCCTAATTTAACTCAAGTACAAAAAGAAACTTTATTGATAACCCTGCCTAATAAGGCTGCTATCAACTCTACCTCACCTGCCAGTTGGCATGGATCAGCTGCAGTGTACTAACCCCCTACTGGGCTGCTTCAGGTGACCTGAGTACGACGGTGTCCGTGATCTGCTACACCACGGCCCTCACAGCCACGGGCAGTTCCCTCACCGGCCTGGAGTCAGGCTCCGACTACATCTCCCGCGGACGCAGCAACTCCTACAGAGTTGTCTTCCCCTCCGGCGTGTCAGAGGCCACCTGTGATGTCAAGGTATGGACTGTGTGTTTGTTTGTTGTTTAATGCCACACTCGGCAATATGCCAGCTATATGATGGAAACCTGTAAATAATAAAGTCTGGACCAGACAATCCAGTGATTGATGTTGTGAGCAATGTAGGGGTATATTGACAGTCCATCATCAAAGTCATTGAGCTTGACCACCCCATCCTTTTGCCCATCACATAGTTTGCTAGGGACAAATTCTAACCACACGTTCACAATTTAGTCACCTCTTACGACTAGCAATGGGGTGCTGAGGTCCAGGTATGGGCTCCCATCAAGGACAAACATCAGTATGATAGATAATAATAGAGGCTAATGATTCAGAGAAATGGAGGGGCCCTAATAGGGGCCTGTTATGATCATACATATAACCTTGGATTGACAAAACCATTTCCATATGGATTATTTTACTTTAGTAATGTTGGGCATGTTGAAACTGTGTTCATTCCACACTGTATGTTCATTGTCATGTTTAACTGGATGTTATCTACAGTTGAACCTCATTATGTCGAACTGTCTCGAACTCATTTGCAAATCCCAAGTATCGCAATGAAGTTTAAGATTTTCTGAAGTCGCAAACCCTGGATAAACCCAAAAAAAATTCCAGTCCCCACAAGTTATACACAAGGTTCGTCTGTATTTGATGTTGATGTGAGTCTGTCCTTTGTGTGCAGATCATTGATGACAGTGAGAGCGAGACATCGGAGCAGTTCGAACTTGGCTTGATGGATCCTTCCATCCCAGCATCCCTGGGCTCACTCACCAAGGCCAATGTCCTCATAGAGGGACCCAATGACCGTGAGTCCTATTGTGAAGGTCGCAATCTCTGGCTGAAACCAATCCAAGGGTGCATGAATACAAAAATTGTGCTACTTTTCACAAATATTTAAAAATTGCAACATTGTTTATTTATTAAGTGAGTTCACTTATTCACTGAAGCTCTCATAATTACAAAATTGTCATATTGTATTGATGAAAGGACCAATACACAATTAATCAAGGTTTTTTATATGTTATTACGTCAAGTGTGATACTAAATTTAAATTTGCTATTGTGGGTAACCAGTGTCTTTATATACAGTAAATTATGTTTATAATGAACACTCTTAAAATGAACTGACATAAAGATACGAACTCATGCTTTGGCCCCGGCCATTTGCTGTATATATGGTTATAACAAACTACGGTTATAACAAACTAATATTAGTGGACCCTTTGAGTTCATTATAACTGTAGTTTCCAGTATGTTAACATTTCCGGGTCAAAAGAATTCTGGAGGAAAGAATATTCATATGGGAAAAAATTCCAGTGTTGGTAAGATCCTTGCTGTAGAAATAATATCCTTGGCAAAAATTTCTACTGGAAATATTTTCCTAGGATATAACTTTCTCCTGGAAAGAATACCCAGGGGGAATAAATATCGTATTACATCTCTTCATGTTTCTGTTCCTGCCAGAGTCCACAGTGTTCCTGTCCGAACCATCCTACAGTTTTGCAGAGAACGCTGGTAATGTTGAGGTGGAGGTTGTGCGAGGTGGGACAGACCTGAGTCATTCGACCACAGTGTGGTGTGCAACACGACTCTCCAGCCCTGCTTCAGCCACACCTGGACAGGACTATGTACCTACCTCCAGTCAGATGACATTCGGCCCGGGGCAGATCTCACAGGTGAGATAAAAACATGTGCGATCAGTATTGCTAAAGACCATGGAAATGTAAAGTTACCATTGAAACCTACAATGCACTGAAAGCTGGGGTTCTCCTGAAACCTACAGTCCCCTGAAAACAAATGTTGCCCTGAAACCTGCAGTCCCCTGAAAACAAACATTGCCCTGAAACCTGCAGTCCCCTGAAAACAAATGTTGCCCTGAAACCTACAGTCCCCTGAAAACAAACGTTGTCCTGAAACCTACAGTCCCCTGAAAACAAACGTTGCCCTGAAACCTAAAGTCCACTGAAAACAAACGTTGCCTTGAAACCTTCAGTCCCCTGAAACCTGCAGTCCCCTGAAAACAAACATTGCCCTGAAACCTACAGTCCCCTGAAAACAAATGTTCCCCTGAAACCTACAGTCCCCTGAAATCAAACATTGCCCTGACACCTACGGTCCCCTGAAAACATATGTTCCCCTGAAACTTAGGGTCCCCTGAAAACAAACATTGCCCTGAAACCTACAGTCCCCTGAAAACAAATGTTCCCTTGACACCTACAGTTATCCTGGGTTCTCCTCCTGAGGTAAACAGTCCACTGTAGCAGTTGAGGCTGATCCAGCCAGACTGCTACCTGTTGTATGTGTGTATTCACTGAAAGCTGGGGTTCTCCTGAAACCTACAGTCCCCTGAAAACAAATGTTGCCCTGAAACCTGCAGTCCCCTGAAAACAAACATTGCCCTGAAACCTGCAGTCCCCTGAAAACAAATGTTGCCCTGAAACCTACAGTCCCCTGAAAACAAATGTTGTCCTGAAACCTACAGTCCCCTGAAAACAAACGTTGCCCTGAAACCTAAAGTCCACTGAAAACAAACGTTGCCTTGAAACCTTCAGTCCCCTGAAACCTGCAGTCCCCTGAAAACAAACATTGCCCTGAAACCTACAGTCCCCTGAAAACAAATGTTCCCCTGAAACCTACAGTCCCCTGAAATCAAACATTGCCCTGACACCTACAGTCCCCTGAAAACATATGTTCCCCTGAAACTTAGGGTCCCCTGAAAACAAACATTGCCCTGAAACCTACAGTCCCCTGAAAACAAATGTTCCCTTGACACCTACAGTTATCCTGGGTTCTCCTCCTGAGGTAAACAGTCCACTGTAGCAGTTGAGGCTGATCCAGCCAGACTGCTACCTGTTGTATGTGTGTATTCATACTTACATGTTGATTTTCAATTCATTTTTTAATTTTCTATAACAGAAGTGCCAGTTGACTGTGCTGGATGATGACTTCGACCCTCGCCTTGAGGGTAACGAGACATTTGTAGTGTTCCTCAGCTCCGCTCTTGGCAGCAGTCTCGCAGAACCCTACATCTCTACCGTCATTGTCAGCGACACAAAGCTGGACAGTAGGTCTCCTTGGTCTGATCTTGTCAGGATTCAACCTTATTTTATAACTCTATCTGAAAGAAAATCGGGGAGGGTGGGGTAGCCGAGTGGTTAAAGCGTTCACTCATCATGCCGAAGATCAGGTTCAATTCCCCACATGGGGACAATATGTGTAGCCCATTTCTGGTGTCCCCCGCCATGATATTGCTGGAATATTGCTAAAAGCGGTGTGAAACATGACTCACTGAAAAAATTGGGTGTTCTTGAACTTCTTTTGAGTAGTATGTAAGAAAGCTATAAGATCCACTCTATAATGTTTTTTTACATTCATCAGTATCAAAGAATCTGATCCTGCAAAGCTTATGCTGTATTATGACAGTTTTGCCTGTCTCCAGCCTGGCTCTAACCTAACTGCTCTCATTGCACAGCTTATAATACTCTATTCATGGTATTGCTGATACATTGTGTGTTGTTTTCCTCAGTTCCAAGGATGACATTTGTCCAAGATCGCTACTATGTAGATGAGAAAAACAAGACTGTGAACGTAACCATCATGAGATACGGGGACCTGACGGACACGTCCTCTGTGATATGCTACACGCGACAGAAGACAGCCGAGGTGATGATGGACTATCATGAGAGAGTCCTCACCAATGCTTCCAGGATAACCTTCCAGCCAGGAGAGAGGGTGGGTGCTGTGATGGAAATGTTACTTTAGTAGGACATAGACCACCCTAGGTTCAACCCATCTCTACCTTTTTCAAGAAGAAACATTCTAAACTATGTCTTGATATGTAGCCTACCTTACGTTTGAAATGAGTCCGATGTAAGGATCATTACATCTTTGTCCTGACTTTGGCAATATGTGTCCCAACACAACGATGTTGGGAGGGTTAACCAAGTTGTGCTTTTTGCAATAAACACAGAGATTCATGAATTTGATAACCTACGCCAAGTACCTTTTACAGGGATATTGATGGTGCTGCATCTGTTGTTGATAATGTTTCCTGCAGTGAACTTGAAATAGATGATGATCCAACACAGGCGTGACGTGTGGAGCCTTTTGGCAAAAACACCGAGATTCTATAAACGTAATCTGAAAACAAACAGCAAGTACCCTTAAGAGAGGGTTTTCTATATTTTCTATATTACTAGTGTAATATAATGTTTCCAATTATAAGTTTAAATGTTGTCTTTCACGTCCAGCTGAAGAACTGCACTGTGGGTATAGTGAATGATGATGAGTTTGAGCCGGAGGAGGACTTCCTGCTGCGACTGAGTGGTGCCTGGGGAAGTGGGGAGAGCGAGGCTGAGCTGGGGGACATGAAGGAGACCATTATCACCATCACCAACCACGATGATGGTGGGTACATCACAAAACTAATAACATCACAGAGAACAAACCTGATAACACCACAGGGAACAAAACTGATAACATCACAGAGTATAAACCTGATAACACCCCAGGGAACAAAACTGATAACATCACAGGGAATAAAACTGATAAAATCACAGGGAATAAACCTGATAACACCCAAGGGAACAAAACTGATAACACCACAGGGAACAAAACTGATAGAGAACAAAACTGATATCACTGGGAATAAAACTGATAACATCACAGGGAATAAAACTGATAGAGAACAAAACTGATATCACTGGGAATAAAACTGATAACATCACAGGGAATAAACCTGATATCATCACAGGGAAAGTGTTGCAATGAAACATGATGCTACATAGAATCAAACATAAATTAGGGTTACGCTTGCAACAAATTGGTCCTGAGGTTGTGCTCTGCTTCATGTCCCCAGTGCCAACAATCCAGTTTGCACAGGCAGCCTACAGCACCCATGAGCCGAGTGCCACTGAACAGATCACGTCTGTGGAGGTGAAGGTCGTGAGGAGTGGGGACCTGAACAAGTCCTCGTCTGTCCGATGCAGCACCAGGGACGGCTCGGCACAGTCAGGCATGGACTACAACCCCAAGAGCATGGTGCTTGACTTCAAACCAGGTGGGCACAACATCAGTGGGATTTGCAGTGTTACACTCTGATAGGCAAGGATCTCAACTGAAAATTAAGAGTCTTTATAGCAATTAGAAGTTGGATGTAAACATGACAAGGAGTATTATAAATAACAACTTATTTATTATGCCTAAACAATGTTTCAGGGCTACTTCTTGCCATATATCACCTGATGAAGGGGCAACATGTTGCCCTGAAATGTTGTTTTTGTATAGTAAAGAAGTTGTCCATAATACTCCTTGTCATAAGTATGCGTTCAAAGTGTTCTTGGAACATGATGGATCTTGTGACAAGTGTCACTTCATCTTTGAAAAGGACCATGAAGACAATATACATAGGACATCAGCATATTCTGTAGCATGTACAATTTCCAGTCAGTGCAAAATTCATTATGACTTGGTAACAAAATTAATGCTGTAACTTAATCTTGAATCTTTATGTACAAATAAACGTAAGTCTTAATCATCCTAAGAGAAGCGCCTGAGTGTTGCATAACTGTCTGTTCTTCAGGTGTGAGTGAGCTTGACTTTGTTGTGGACGTGCTGTACAACAGTGACATAGAGTGGCACGAGTCCTTCACCCTGATGCTAGGCCCTGAAGACCCTGAGGGAGCTGTGTTTGGGCCAGTCAAGACAACCACCATCACCATCCTGGACAACGAAGTCTCAGGGAGCATCATACTACCAGCCCCTCCTGTTGTAAGTCATACACTTTGACCCGTGAAGATCCAGGCTAGAATAGGTCTCCAGCAACCCATGCTTGCCATAAAAGGTGACAATGCTTGTCGTAAAAGGCGACTAACGGGAATAGGTGGTGAGGCTCGCTGACTTTGTTGATGCATGTCATCGTCCCCCAATCGTATGGATCGATGCTCATGATATCAAATACTGGATTGTCTGGTCCATACTTGATTATTTGCAGACCGTTGTCATATAGCTGGAATATTGCTGAGTGTGGTGTTAAACAACAAACAAACAAAACAAACAAAACATACACTTTCATGTGAGACAGTGGCAGTCGGCAAAACTACTGTACAATCACTTACACGAGACTCCAAAGAATTATTTGGTGATTTATTTCTGCAAATGACTCAGTTGTGTGTACTTGTTTTGTAATTACAAACTGATGTCACCCTAAATATTACCTTTTTTCTGAATTTGCATTTGTCAAAACATCCTATATGTTCATCAGGGTTTGACTATAAGTATTGTAGACTGTTTATATAACTGACAATATATTGCATCTGATGGCTGTATTATAGGTGGTGTCTCTGCTGAATTATGATGATGCTGAGCTTGGAACTAAAATCGACCCATCTCCAGGGTATCCTCTTGTCTGTATAACGGTGAGTGTCACAAACCTCAGGAATATACTTGAAACAATATGTTGTGCATGCATAGTCCATATTATAGCTGTTAAAAGCCAGTAAGTGACCCGTATTGGATTTCTTTACATACCATTGTTTAATCATTATAATAATATAGTCGCCATTTTTTCATGGTCAAAACATTTTGTAAAATCTCTGCCTTTTGGACATATCAACTTTCAGCAATGTACCCATTTGAAAGTGTAATTATGAACAGGTGCCCCTATAACATTTGTCTCACAGTAGGATGATTGATGTGAAACTATGTGTTGCAGCCCTGTGATGAGCACTACCCCACATTCACCAAGACCCACATGCTGTGTGAGGAGGCAGGCATCAACCAGTCCAGCCTCCTGTACACCTGGGAGGTGTCTCTGCCCGAGGAGGAGGACGGATCAAGGCCACCATTCATGCAGGTCTCGGACACCACCTTGTTCACAGACGTCAACAAGATTGTCCTGGATAGCGTGTACTTCCGCTCTCGCTTCCAGGTCCGATGTATTGCCCAACCGAGACATGAGAACGGGAACCCAGGCGTCCCTCTCAAGAGCAGAGTTGTCACTATAGGAAGTGATAATGGTATCTGTAAATCGCCAGTATTTGGCAGCAATCCTTACAGTTACCAAGCTCAGTCCTTTTTAGCAAACCTTGAATATGTGGGGCCTGATGACTTTGACCATCCAAACACAATACACATCTCGGTGAAGATTCCCCATCAGGATGGCATGCTGCCTCTGATCTCCACCTTCCCCTTACACAATCTAAGGTTCTTGCTGGCAGAGCCAATCTACCGCCAGCAGCATGTCTGCTCCAACATCATCACAGCAGAGGAACGAGAGCCTCTCATTGATGAAGGCTTCTTTGATGGGAAGCTTGGTGACTCTCTGCCCTACGGGCCAGGTCATGAGTTCCCCTACCAGTTTGATGATGACCTGCGAGAGGAGAAGACACTGTCTCTGTACAAGCACCTCAACCTGAAGAGCTGCATCTGGACCTTTGATGCCTGGTACCATATGACAGAGTTGGTGGACATCTGCGGTGGAAGGATCGTGTCGGACTTTCAGGTGAAGGATACAGGGCAGTCACATCTCACAGTGCGAGTTCCCCTGTACGTGTCTTACCTGTACGCCACGGCACCTGTAGGGTGGGGCTCCCTTGAGCATCGCACGGAGATGGAGTTTTCATTCTACTATGACACCATCTTGTGGAAGTCTGGCTTGGAGACTGAGGGCACACTGGGAGGCAAGCTGCAGATTCTCAGGATACTCATTGGCAGTGATGGCAAACTTGTTATTGACTTCAGGACTACAGCCAAGTTTAGAGGTAAAGCACCTGCAGGAGGACTTGTTAAAGTAACACAGTTCAGTTAAAGTAACAGATATAAAAATGTCAGTCTATGTTCATGATATGTTCAAATGAGCTTATCCCTGGTTGTACCACAGAAACTGACTTTGACTGGGTAATTCTGTGACACAGACACCAATGCAGTGTCATAGTAGTTTATGCAATTTTTATACAATGTGTGAAAATGACAATTTTATGAAAAGTATACAGGGTTTCAGATCAGATCGTTTTCTAGGGCATTGACTGATTATGATTCAATATGTCCTAAAATGTTTGTTTGTTTTATTAAATTTGTAATGACCTACCTGAATGTCCTAATTTACAAAATCATAAAACTGCCCTTATGCCATTTGTCTCAAGGTATTTCACTAAGTATATATATGTCTTGATAATAGTTGTAGACAGTACAATACTAACATATTTACAAGTGATATTATTGTGAAGCCCTCTCCCCGTCCTTCGGGGCGGTCGGGTAGCCTTGTGGTTAAAGCGTTAGCTCATCACGCCGAAGACCAGGGTTTGATTACCGACATGGGTACAATGTGTGAAGCCCATTTCTGGTGTCCTCCGCCGTGATATTGCTGGAATATTGCTAAAAGCGGCGTAAAACCTCACTGACTCACTCACTCTCCCCGTCCTTCAGGTCAGTATGTACTGAGCCACAGCACCCTGCCAGCACTGGAGAGCAGGATCAAGCCACCTTCCAGCCTGGCCATCGGCTTTGATCTGAAGCTGTTGTGGAGCCAACAGACATTTGACAGTCCACATCAGCTCTGGAGGGCAACGAGCAGCTTTAACCTCAAGGTATATAGGCTAGAGTTGTGGGGGTTAACTAGCAACTTGAACCTCAAGGTAGAGGCTAGAGTTGGGTGGGACAACTAGCAGCTTTAACCTCAAGGTAGAGGTTATAGGTGTAGGGGTTAACTAGAAACTTGAACCTCAAGGTAGAGACTAGAGTTTTGTGGGACAACGAGCAGCTTTAACCTCAAGGTAGAGGCTAGAGTTGTGGGGGTTAACAAGAAACTTCAACCTCAAGGTAGAGGTTATAGGTGTAGGGGTTAACTAGCAACTTGAACCTCAAGGTAGAGACTAGAGTTGTGTGGGACAACTAGCAGCTTTAACCTCAAGGTAGAGGTTATAGGTGTAGGGGTTAACTAGAAACTTGAACCTCAAGGTAGAGACTAGAGTTTTGTGGGACAACGAGCAGCTTTAACCTCAAGGTAGAGGCTAGAGTTGTGGGGGTTAACAAGCAACTTTAACCTCAAGGTAGAGGCTAGTGTTGTAGGGGTTAACTAGCAACTTGAACCTCAAGGCCCTCATTCTGTTACATGGATTTGATGGATACAGAAGAAGCGATTCACCTGACTGAACACATTTCTCTGGATATTTTCTTGTCATTGAATGGTACTACAAACATCGATGACTAGTCCCTTGTCTACAGGTAGCCAAGCATTTGATGTTAGCTGCATGATGTTGTATGGTTTGTTAGGCTGTAGGTTGAAGCTTGTTGGTTGTTGTTGTAGGACTACACAGGGCGTTACACCATAGAACTCATCCCCTGCAGCGTCAAGGCCACTCAAAGATATATCAAGATTGACCCTATACCTTGCATCGCTTCACAGCCACAGAGGTAAGGCACTTTAATGCCTGCAAAACTACTCGTTTGTGAAATACATATCTTTAGTTATTGTGTAATATGTGTGTAATATCTACACTTACTGAGTCTTAATACTACTTACATATTCCCAACCAAGGAAGGAAACTTAAATGGCAGAGATAGGAAAATGGCTCCTGGAAGTTGGCATTGGCCAAAGATGGACCAGGGGCCCGTTCCACAAAACGATCTTAGCGCTAAGATGATCATAACTCCCATACATTAATACAGGCTTACGACAATCCTAGCTCTAAGATCGCTTTGTGGAACAGGCCACTGGTCAAGAGGCCTGTGTAAGCTTGATCCAAGACGGAGACTAAAAAATAGTGTCAGTTCAGCTAGTTTCCTTAGCTGGACCTTTGCCCATTTGCCTCTACAAATATCCTGAGTCCTTACTTTTGATTTGCTTTATATAATATTTGTTCACACTTACATGACCAATTGAACATTAGGTTGATACCTAATGTGTTCTCATATTGTGTCTGGGCCACCTGTGCCCCCTCCAATTGGTTAAAGGGTTCACTCATCACACCAGAGGGCTAAGTTCCACTCCCCACAAGGGTACAATGTATGGAGCCCATTTCTGGTGTCCCTCAAATTGATATTGCTGGAATATTGCTAAAAGCTGAGTAAAACTCAACTACCTCACTCGCTCATGTTGTGTTGTGTTGCAGCTTTGAGGTGCCCATCTCCTTCCAGCAGACCAACCGGCCTGTCCCTGTGGTGTACTCTCTGAACACAGACTTCCAGCTCACCAACAACCTCAAGATGTTTCTTCTCAGCCCTAACTCCACAGAGGCCTCACAGGATGACTGGGACTTCAACGGGGCATTCTCTCCAGGTAAATAGTAGCTACGCAGTCATAGAGACATGTCTCAACTCCGCAGAGGCCTCACAGGACGACTGGGACTTCAACGGGGCATTCTCTCCAGGTAAATAGTATCTACGCAGTCATAGGGACATGTCTCAACTCCGCAGAGGCCTCACAGGATGACTGGGACTTCAACGGGGCATTCTCTCCAGGTAAATAGTAGCTATGCAGTCATAGAGACATGTCTCAACTCCGCAGAGGTCTCACAGGATGCCTGGGACTACAACGGGGCATTATCTCCAGGTAAATAGTAGCTATGCAGTCATAGAGACATGTCTCAATTCCACAGAGGTCTCACAGGATGATTTGGACTTTAACGGGGTATTCTCCCAAGGTAAATAGTAGCTTGGTACTCTCAAGGTAAATACACTCTCCAGTAGTCATGGAGACGTCCCAACTCTACAGAGGCCTCGGAGGACAACTTGGAATTCAATGTGGCATTTTTTCCATAAGGTGTTTGTAGCACTATGACTGTGGTAAGTCATAGGCGGAATCAGGGTTTTGTAACCTATCAGTGGTATTCAAAATACATTCAGTTTTAGACCTACCTACCCTTTGATTACAGGCCAGAAGATCTATGCCAGGGTCTTATGGAGTCCAGAACAGGATTTGAAAACAGCATACAAATTGGGAATAGAAAAGGTGTATCTTTGTACAGGTAAAGTTCTAATATGATTTGATTGAAATCAGTGTGACATTTTAAAAAAAAAGTGCTTACAGATGAGGAAATATCACAAATATGCTAAACATGTTGTAAAAGTGATAGGTATAATAGAAAGAATTAAAGAAAAAAACATCATGAAACTACTCAGAAGAAAACATGCATGATGAAATGAGTGTTGTTCCATTGAGGACCCAATCTAGCCATACCTTCCCTGTGTTTCAGGCAGTGACGGGTACATCCCCACATATGACCCCACAGGGGAGGAGTACAACGAAGGGCCACAGTTCGGCTGTATGCAGCCCAGCCCCAAACTCAGGCAGAGGTTCCTCATTCTTGTAAGCATGACTTATTATCTCTGAAATTTGTTATTATTTCTCTTTTAAGATAAGTTGGTTTTTTTTAAATGCCATGGAATGTAGCCAGCTCCATTTTCATATTATAATCATCTACACTGGGTTTGATTAACTTAAATTCACTTATTACGCAGTCATTATGCAGGTCTAGTGTGTTTAACATTTGGACACATGTGTTTCATAGAAATACCAGTATTTTCTTGTTATTTTTCTGAGGCAGATTTTGAAAAAGTGGGGTGCACACTACCCAAGTGACAGAGTGACCAGGCCCCCATTTAACAAAGCGACCTTGGCGCTACGAGTGTCGTAATTCTATGTTAAAAAAAGGGAGTTACAATTGTCTTAGTGCTAAGACTGCTTTGTGAAATGAAGGCCAGAACATGTGATAGAGGGACTGACACAGGCTGACACATCCTGGCCTCCACCAGTGTCCTGTCAATCGAAGATGCTCCTTTTGTGGTGTTCTCCCACTGATGCAATAGTTTGTAGGACCAAAACTAAAACGTCTTTGCCCTGTTACCAACTTATATTTCACCACGTTTCATCTTCCTACACAAATCACTAGAAAATCAAGTAAAAAGTATTAACTGTTTCCTGTAGGATCGTGGGAATCCTGATGCTGTCCAGACAAACTTCCACGACGTAGCATTCGAAGCGCAGCTGGCCTACGAGAACCCGGACTATATAGGCCTCACCAATATGCCAGGGGTGGACGGCTTCGCCATGAGTGTAGACCCTCTCTACAAGGTGGGACAACTGTGGCCTTGGTGCCATTGCTCAAAGATTACTTTTTGAATTAACTGTAAAGACTCCCATGTCTGTATTTACTTCTATGCTTAAACTAACAGAGAAACATCTGCATATCATTTTTAAAATGTTTGAACACAAAAGAGATATTTTGGAGAGAGTTGATTTCCTTGTCCTAAATCCCATTCTTAATGCCAAACAATATTTACATGCAGCAATCATCTTAGATATCACTACCTCTGTTCTTTCCTACAGGTCGACTCAGGACATCAGTGGTACCTCCAGGTCATATATGTCATCGGACCCTCTGACAAACTCCGGAAACGCTTCCGTCGTTCATCAATGCTACGCTTCAGACGCGATGCCTCAGGAGCATCCAACAGTTTTGATGAGCCAAAGAACGGCACCAACATGCGACTACTTCACCTTGACAATGCACATGTCTATTCTGAACCTGACTCTCCATTCCCACTGGTCCCCCATGTTGCAGCCCCTGCAGCTGTGGGTGGACTCCTCTTCATTATTGTGATCATAGTTATTATGATAGTCGTGATACGGCGGCGGCGGCGACGAAAGAAAGAGCCGCCAGTGAAACCCAACAATCTAGTGACACTGGTAGACACTCCAGACAGTGGTATCACCACCAACAGGTGGAAGGGCTCTCGCAGGAGTCTCAGGATGACAGACTCCAGGAGGAATCTTAATACCCAAGAGGAAAAATCAAATTTAGTAAAAGCTAAAGAAGTGAACTTAAAGGTAATACATGGAAATAATGTGGATTCTGGGACAGAAGTTTGATGCATAATTAGCAGTAATGCAGCATTAATATAAGTACAGCACCATGTATGTGCAAATGGAGGTTAGGTCCATGGAGTGGTAACCTGCAGATTTAATGTGTGAGGCTGCCATTGAGGATGTAATTCTACAGATCCCGCAGGTGTTCATGGAGGCAGTGGATTTAGGCAGATAGTTGATGCAGACCTTTGATCATGAGATGTGCTCTCTACTGAGATGCAGAGTGTGCAAAATATCAAGCTACAATGGCTATCATGGTGAAGCTGGCTCTCAGTATTGCAATGGAAATACTATAGGTCTCTTCAGGCCCAACTTTCCACTGACAATGGAGAACTTGTAACATGCTTGCAAAACGTACGTACCAAATGTTGTACATCTTCATTTAAGAGGATGTATAAAGCCATATTCCCATATTTTATACGTAACTTATTGTCCCTACCGTGACTTAATCATCCTGCAATAACACCTCTGTGTCTATGCTCCCGTTGTCATAATCAGGACAGAGTGCTACAAAGTAACCAGATTGTTGCATAATTCTGCAAGTGTTGCAATGTATTGTTTTATGTTGTTCAGGTGCATTTGTGCAATTAAGTGTGCAGGATATGTGATTTCATAAACTTTATAAATGTTTTGTTTTGTCTACAACTGATATACATTGTCCATCTTTCTCATGTCCATGTTTTCATGCACTCAATACACACAAGTTAGGACATAATTCTAATATGAAATTGTTATGTTTAAATAGGCAGCATCTGTTTCCTTGTTGATAAAACTCTGTAAGCTATGAGAGAAGGCAGTCAGAAGCTGAGGATATTCGAGGTATACAAGAAATGTTAATGAGATATTAAATAGGGAATATAATTGTTTCAGTTTTTGAGTACAGATTTGCTATTGTTCAAATGTTGCATTTATGGATATGTTATCAAAACCGGTATTGTTTACCATTTACAAGACTGTGCCTTTTCTGTGTATATTCAGTAGTAACTTGGCCACCATGATGTATAAACTAATTATGTGTACAGTTAGGTATTATTTATATGAGGAACAGTGTATATTGTGTATACGATTGTTTGGCATGAGATACGTACGTGTATATTTTGAGGAAATGCATGTTGTGACCATTGTTTAAGCTTCTATGCAAACAAGGAACATTGTACAGACATCTGATGTTGTTACATGTGGAATGTGTGCTTCAGGATAAAGGATCCCAGTTCTATGTATTGTGTTAGGTAGCAGGGTTTTGTGTGATGTGGGAAATCTGAATTTGTTTCAGTACAATGCATGGTATATGAATATGGACATTTTTTTTATATAATTAACTTACTTTTACTCTTCAACAAACATCTGAATTTTATGTTTGCCTCATTAATGTAATACACAGGTATATATTTACTCCTTAATGTGGAGTAGAATGGACATACCAGTAAAATGTGTTATTTGTCCTCAATAACTAGGTTATTACAAACTTACACAATCTTTCTTCTCAGAACGTCAGTATATCGCAAACTTGTAATGATTACCCACAGTGAGGAAAACATCAGCTTAGTTTTGTCACCTACTTTACATTTTCATCCATGTCTTTCTGAAACTGTAAATGTTGGATTTCGAGTCACTCATGTATTTCTCTATCATGGTTGATGATCACACATAGATCGAGACCTATCTACCTCTAAGTATACACGACCTGACAGTATTCATACCATTGTCATATCATTGATCCTTTATGAATCTCCATATACTGTATTGTATATATTGGGCAAGAGTTTAAGAGAAACCTATTTCCATATCAGGTAGCCAGTCTCGAATCCAACCATTTTGTCAACTAGACATGAAATTGAGCATGTAAATATTTTCATTAACACAAATGTGAAATTTAGTTATTTGATTCTTGCTGAATGTTTTGTTATATGCCCTCATCAATCCAAAGAGTTACTTCCCTTGAACTGTGGAGATATAATGGAAAAGTGTCTGCTTCCTGTATATATAACTTAAGGTGTCCAGTTACTTCCTGGTCAGTAGCTCCACTCCAACCGATTCCATTCATGCTAACATGAGGGTGCCACCTCCCTGTCACTCTAGGCATCCGACATACCACTTAATTTGTCTTCAGATCCAACTTAAGAAATCTTGTGTAGACAGTTGGTAAACTAGACAGGGATTTTCACATAGAATGAATGACCATGGTTGCTCATAAGCTAAGGGCTAAATATTTTGTCGAGTTATCACTTCTTGCAAGAAAAAAACATGAAATGAACTTCAACATTGAAATATTTGCATGCAGATAAACATTTCATAGCATCCAGCGTACTGCACTGTGTCATCCGGAATACCACTTAATAGCGTACAGCATATGGCATCGCAAAAGGGGGTGGCACCCTCTAACATGGTCTATGTGGACTCCTTGTGCCTGTGTCCTAGTAGGTGTCGGATCTCTATGTGGACTCCTTGTGCCTGTGTCCTAGTAGGTGTCGGATCTCTATGTGGACTCCTTGTGCCTGTGTCCTAGTAGGTGTCGGATCTCTATGTGGATTCCTTGTGCCTGTGTCCTAGTAGGTGTCGGAACTTGGTGTGATCCAGCAAGATAATACTCAACTGTAGCAATGTGCTTACAGCATCTCTGATCTGCTGTATACTCTACATGTATGTATGTAAAGTAACAATCAGCATAATAAAGCCATTCAATTAATGCCTTTGTTCAACACTTAGTAGATTGTGGAAGGTAGTCTGGTAGGGGTTGCCATGCTTTTGTAAAAGCCAGACTGTTAATCACGGACTGCTGTCATGTCTGTGGCAACTCCTAACAAGAACTAAGCATGCTTAACTTCATAATCACATATCTGATATGTGAGGTGAAGGTGAGGTGAAATTGGGTTTAACGTCGCGTCCAAGATTATTGCACTTATATAGCGACGTGCATGCACGTGTATGTGTGTGTGTGGCTGCTTCTACTAGTCCGGACTGATGCCAATTTATAGTGCTAGCTCACTGAGATACCATGCCGCAGTTTAACATGAATACCCCACTCAGACACAGTATACTGACTCCGAGCCGACCAGTCCTTGTTTTAGCCCCTTAATGCCGAGCGCCAGACAGGGTAACAACAAGTACAATCGTCTTTTAACGTCTTTTTGTATGACGCAGCCCGGGATCGAACCCTGGACCTTCCGCTCTCCGGGCGGACGCTCTACCACAAGACCACGGAGGCGGTCCCTATCTGAAATGTGCTGAAAGAAAGGTCATGACAATGTGAAAGTGTCAGCAACTTAGATTTCATGCCACAGCCAGCAATGTTTCACTAATAAAAAACTAATGGGATCGGGTGGTCAGGTTCACTGACTTGGTTGATACATGTCATCGTATCCTTATTGTGTGGATTGATGCTCATGATGTCAATCACTGGATTGTCTTGTCCAGACTCGATTATTTACAGACCACCGTCAAAGAGCTGGAATATTGCTGAGAACAGTGTAGTAGTAGTAGTAGTGAGTGAGTGAGTGAGTGAGTGTGGTTTTACGCCGCTTTTAGCAATATTCCAGCAATATCACAGCGGGGGACACCAGAAATGGGCTTCACACATTGTACCCATGTCGGGAATCGAACCCGGGTTTTCGGCGTGACGAGCGAACACTTTAACCACTAGGCTACCCGACCGCCCCAGTGGTAGTAGTAGTACATGTAGTAGTAGTAGTATAAATCTTCAGAGGATATGCCTCCATGGATACCATACATGGTACCACTGAACACAATGAAAGAACATGCATAAGAATAGGACAATATTTATTTCTTTAGGCTTGGGTTCAGTCACTCATTCACTCTCCTGTCACACTCCGTCACACAGTTCCGTATCAGTCTTCAAACACAATGTGCTTCTTATTCGCAATCACCTCAGCATTGTGCTTGTGAGCCTTCTCTATAAGCTGGAACAAACAGATAGTGCTGGTGTGAGAGGAAAAACAAAACAAGACAGTTCCATGGTTATTATTATTATCATCATTATTATTATTATTATTATGGAAAAGCACCATTGACAGTTGATGATGTATCATTACTGTGAAACTTCAGCATGTTCAGTATAGAGTGAGTGAGGGAGTATGGCTGAAGGCGACGTTTACAGTATTTCCATGATATCCCAGCATATCAGCTTTGAGTTAGATGGTGTAGAAGGAAAGCCCAAAGTGATGCAGCTAGACACCCAGGACAACTGATATGGTGGGATTCACACCAACAATCACCCGACTCTGCCACGACTAAGGGATGCAGCTCTGCACATTGAATCACAGTGCCTGACAAGTACTGGGTCACCTACCTGCCTCTGTCAGTTTGGAACCAGTTTGCATTCTTACAGTAAAAGGATGAAAGTGTACCAGCAGAATACCCCTTTGGTCGTACATACAGAAGAAAAGTTCCTGACAATATCATTGATGCAACTGACCTTCTGTGTTCCTCTTTTCTTTGTCCTTGTCTTATTATTGAATTTTTCGTCCCTGTCTGCCTTTAGCTTCTCCCAGTATTGTTTCTCACTGTCCCCTGAAATATAAATTAGGGTTGAAATGTGAATACATGTACAACCATTTCTCCCAACAAGAGAATCGGTGTGCAAGTCTCCTGCAATGTAAATCACAACCAATGTAAGTCAACTGCAATGTGAATCATTGTCTTTACAAATTCATAAATGTAAATAAGAGACCACATACCAAGTCTCCTGAATTGACAATTATGGACAACACAAAACAAATAAACGAATTTGTATGTCTTCCCTAAATGTACCAACATAACTGTTACATGCCTAATAGAATTGGAAATTTTAGTATAAATTGTATATTTATATACTTATCCTATCTCACACTTTGCATTTCTCCTTTCTTCGATCCTATGTGGGAACGTGCTTGAATCATGTTTCGAGCTTCTAAAACTAAAAATAGACACCCAAGCCCCCCCCCTGCATCTCCATGGTTACGTCCAAAAGCTAGGTCAATTACGTGCCTCTCGTGCACGCCGTGCCTGCTTGAACTGACAACGTGTGTGCCTCTACCAATTCATTCTCTTTCGCAGAGCCTATTTTTCTCCCTTGTTTTAACGTTTTTCACAACATACAGTCTGCAATCTAAACGGGGCGATCGGGTAGCCAAGTGGTTAAAGCGTTAGCTCGTCACGCTGAAGACCCGGGTTCGATTCCCGACATGGGTACAACGTGTGAAGCCCATTTCTGGTGTTCCCCGCCGTGATATTGCTGGAATATTGCTAAAAGCGGCGTAAAACCATACTCACTCACTCACTCACTCACTGCAATCTAAACAAGAGGACATAGTCATTGATATCCCCCAAAATAAAATATTTTTCGTGGATTAACATATGAAACTTGTTGCCATGGAAACTCGGAAAATATTTGTTTTAAAAATCCCAAACTATCAAAAGGCACAAGTTCACCACTTGACATATCTATGTGCCACATTTGCTGAAGAAATATGGGAAACTTTTCAAGATATGCTCTGGATAACTACCCCCATTTCCAGTCCAAGTCAAAGTTGCTGCCAAACTCGAAAAATTACCTTGAAAAACAAAAACAAAACAACTTTCAAAAGGCACTAATTCACCACTAGACCCATCTATGTGCCACATTTAGTGACGAAATATTGCAGTTTTCAAGATCCGTTCCGAAAACAAGCACTACTGACATTTTCAGTCAATCTTTTTTCTTTCTTTTTTTAAATCCCAAACAATCAAAAGGTACCAGTTCTCCACTTGACCTATCTATGTACCACGTTTGTTGAAGAAATATTATACTTTTTTCAAAATCTGTTGGACAAACAGACTGACAGTGTACATCTTAATACCCACTGCAAAAAGAGTTGTGGGGGACAACTATTCTTGCAACCTCATATGCCGTTTGACTGCCTTTGTGACAGTCCCAGACAACACACACAAAGTATCACTGATGAACTGTATGTTAAGTGTACAGGTGTGTTGAATTGGATTTAAAGTCTTGTCTGTGTATCCAGGGTAAATGAAATGAGTTTTAACGTTCCGTCTACATGTACAGGTGAGATGAAATGGGGTTTTATGTACCATCTGTGTACAGGTGAGGTGAGTTAAAATGGGGTTTTATGTCACATCTGTGTGTACAGGTGATGTCAAATGGGGTTTAACGTCCCAAGGTGAGCCGATATAGGGTTTAACATCCAGTCTATTCGTACAGGTGAGGTGTCTGTGAAGCATGACCTACCAGCAAGCAGGTTGAAAGTAAGGTTTTCTAGAAGCAGCTCGGAGATCTTCCTTGCACTCTCCTCATCATTACAGCGGATGCTGCCAGACAAAGCATTGTCCTTTATGTCGAAGTAGGCCACACTGACTTCACCAGGCAACTTTTCCTGCAGACATGGTGAACAAGACATGTCACATGAGAGACAACATTGAAACAAAGTAGTGTGTGTAGCTCATTTCCTGATAATGTACATTGAATAATTATTTGCTCTTGAGAGAAAAATCTCAATATGAAAGAGGGAATGCACTGTTCTACCAAAGAAACCATACAGTTTGATAACTCCTTTCTCTAAAAAATAATCAAACTATACATTCTTTGCTAGAAGGACAAAATAATGACAGTCTTCTCTCTCCTCACCTTCAGTGTCCTCCTGTTCATGGGGTCGTTACAGGTGACCTGCACTATGACCCCAGGTACATACTCTATAGCTGGTCGCACGCCACCCTTAGTGACATCTGCAATCAAGGAAGAGTTCGTGAACATGCTCAATGCAGCCAGATCAGTATTATTTGTGCAAATTCCAAATGAATCAATACCCCAACCAACCAACCAACCCTGTTCATTATGGAGTGGGTCATCCATTTTGAGTTATCTTAAGTCGGGAGTTTTCTGTACAAAATGAACACACAAACAAGAAATACTCATCCTCAATGTAACATGATTACATCATAGACAAAATCGGTAATTTCTGACACTGCCCTCATATCTTCCCGTTTCAATTTGTAAAATATGAGAACTTTCACAAAATCTGGTCAAACTATCCTACTCTTATCAAATCACACTGATCTACTTTTAAAACCAAACAATAAGTTCAAAACAACTGAGTTTTAGAACCACTAGAAACTGTTTTCTCATACATCCATGTCAGAATGATTAGATCTGATTGGACCATGTGATGCCTTGCTAAAATACTGTGCAACCCGCCTTGAACATGTTGAAAAGTAATAAATTTCTCAGAGCAGAGGAATAAATCTCTTATACCCCGCCATGAACAATACAAGCTGCATGTGGATTTATCAGAGGCAGAATAAATCCCTTATACCCCGCTTCAAAGCAAAAAGCCGCATTGCTTTTTCAGTTAATGGAAGTCACGTGACAGCACAAGTTAACCCAGCTCAATCGATCAGCTGTTTTCTATCGATTTTTGGCTTGACATGGGACGTGTAAAACGCCATGTGCTCCATGTGATCCTGCTACAACCTCTAGTGAACCATCTATATCTACACCTGTTTACATTTGTAGAGGTAGATCGAGAAGGGAATGTCAGTAATGAGGAAATCTTGTTATTCAATACCAATTGATAAACCTTTTATACTTCATTTTACAAGACATAATAATGATCATATTCAATAAGGCAATTTATCACCATGGCTCAGCAGTACTTCTGCAGAGGGGACTATCATGAAGATACTCAAATATATCTTGAACAAAGAAATAATCTGACATTACCGTTATCAAACAATACCTTATATTTATGTCAAATCAAAGCCTAATCAAACAGCGTTCATAATTCTCCACTTACATTGTTCCTCCATCTTGTTCTGTTGTGCTTCTTTCTCCAGACGCTGTTTCCGTAGTGACTGTTTGAGGGCGGCCATGTTGGCCTTCTGTTGACTCAGATATTCCTCTCTCAGTTTCAGCCACTCCTGCCTGGAAAATACTCACAAAGTCTTCACATGCTCACAGATAATATTCAGACTTAAATGTTACATAAAGAATCTGACCCTAGTGTCTTTTGTCCAACTTGAGCCAATAAAAGTTTAAAACTCTTAGCCTTGACATATTTGATATCAAAAGACACGAGGGTGAGATTCTATTTATCATCCAAAGTCATTCTTCCAACTTTTCAGTTTGTAGACAGAAATAGCCAGGGTATTACAATGGTCTGCAAAGCATTGTTATGCAAAATAGTTATAGCAATATATCCTAGGAGACATTGCTTTGGTGAGATCATTTGATATCTCCTGTGTAAGCCAGTTTTGGATGATAGAAAAAAAGAGTCGCAACAACATCCTTTCAAAGCTTCAACCATCTTGTCATTATTCTTATACCATCATTTACAGCCAAAGACAAGGAAGTCAAGTAATATGAAAAAGTAATATCAAGTGTATACTCTAAACATTCAAAATGGCAAACAGATCAAGGTTTTCAAAATTCTGTTATGACTGATTGAATCAATAACCTACTTTGTGATGACTTTGAGTTGTGGTGGTGGGACATCTTTCTCCTTGTTCTTCTTCTTCTTCGTCTTCCTTCTAGTTCTCTTCTTATTCGTATTGACATCAGCTGTCTCCACATCAACACCAGAATCGTCTGGTTTCGACACTTTTGCTTGCGGGGCTGAAAACTCACCACTCTCACGACTGTCTGATGTTCGTTTACGTTTCCCTCTTTCAGACTTTTCCTTCTCCACAAAAGAGGAGTCTGTGTGCTCAGAATCTTCCTCAAGAGATTTATTAGAATCTGAAAGTCTCTGCTTCCTCCTCTTTTTCTTCTTCTTCCCTTCCTTCCTATCATCTTCCTCTGATTTAAGCCCATCTGACACAGACTCATCCAGTTTACCTTGTTCCTTACTGCACGAAGCTTTACCCGAGTCCTTACAGACCTCTTTCTTCCTCTCAGGCTCTTCTCTGCCATCACTTGACTCCGTCTTCCTCTTCTTGGCTGGGATAGAATCAGAGGAGCAATCGACGCTGCTCTCACTAGTATGACGCCGACGTTTCTTGTGCTTCTTGCATTGTTTCTGTGCAGGTTCATCATTCTCCTTTGACTTCTCAGTGGCCTCCATATCTTCATGGGAGTCTGGAAAGGTTATACATATATATATTGACACAGTGCAGTCATACAACCCTCTAAATAACATGACAGTAAGACCATGGGGTATCCAAAATATTTTTCCTCCCTTGTATTTGGTGATGAAAACCTAACACTCTCATTTACCATCAAAGGATTGCTCTAATTCATGTAACACTTGGAACTTGTACAATATTGTTTTGTGTCCCGATCTATCTCATTTGAATATGAGCTACTGGAATCTCCTGCTTTTGATTTCTAGTCAAGCAGTTGAAGTTAAGTTTGTGAAGATGACAGATATTATTCAATGGAACTGGTATCACCCCATAATATATCAAGTCCACTGTCTTGGTGCTATTGTTTGCTTATTAGGTTTTATATTTAAACTACTGTATTCAATGCTACTCGTATTAGCGCCCTGCTCTTATAAGCGCCCACTGTAGTATTTGATAAGTAATGTGGTGGCAAAGGTCCTGTGTACAGCACACAGAACACAAATCTGGTGAAGTTAAGCAACATTAGTTGTGGAGAGTAGTTGGATGGGTGACCATGTTTGTCAGCTTGACCGACACTGAAGTGCAGTGGCATCTGAATATCTACAAGGAATCAAGGTTTGCGATGTTGCCAGGTTACGAGCTCAGTTACCCCTATCATAATATTTGACTCCTGATTTGCAATTTGAGTTTACTTTATTGATACATTCACAGAATGAATTTTCATTGAATGTAATCGGGTGAAATTTGAAAATGGTTAGTAACTTTTAAGGCTAGCTAGCCCACCTGGCCTGCAATACTTTGAGTGACAGTGTGTAGCTGACCTTGTCCGGACTTCTTCTTGAGCTGGTACAGCACCTTGTTCCACTTGGGGAATCTCCCGGCCTTGCCTGACATCGGCGGTGGGTTGTGCAACATCTAGAAGTACAGACCCAATCAGTGGGTACTGGCACACAACTTAGCTGGACTTTTCATATCATATGCAGTGATTACACAGAAGTATATACTGTTGCTAAACAGCCTGCAGTCAACAATACAGTAGCTAACAACCCTGCAGTCAACAATAATGTAGCTAACAACCCTGCAGTCAACAATACAGTAATTTACAAGCCTGCAGTCAACAATACAGTAGTTAACAAGCCTGCAGGCTAAAAATACAGTAGCTAACAAGTCTGCAGTCAACAATACAGTAGCTAACAAGTCTGCAGTCAACAATGTTGTTACTCGCAAGCCTGCAGTTAACAATACAGTAGTTAACAAGCCTGCAGTTAACAATACAGTAGCTAACAAGCCTACAGTCAACAATACAGTAGCTAACAAGCCTACAGTCAACAATACTGTAGCTAACAAGCCTGCAGTCACAATACTGTAGCTAACAAGCCTACAGTCAACAATACTGTAGCTAACAAGCATGCAGTCAACAATACAGTAGCTAACAAGCCTGCAGTCAACAATACAGTAGCTAACAAGCCTGCAGTCAACAATACAGTAGTGAACAAGCATGCAGTTAACAATACTGTAGCTAACAAGCCTGAAGTCAACAATACAGTAGCTAAAAACCCTGCAGTCAACAATACAGTAGCTGACAAGCCTTCAGTCTCACCTCACAGGCTTTGGCAGCCTCTTCTTTGGAGGCAAACTCAACAAAGCCGAATCCCTTGAGATCTCCCGTACTCTTGAATCTCGGCAGACTGACATACTGTACATTGCCACACTGTGCGAACAGACTTCTTACCCACTCGTGGTCAGTGGTACGTGGCAGGTTCTCCTGGAATGTCCAAAAAGGGAGTTAAAGGCTAAAAGGATTTACCATTAAAAGAAATCATTAAATTTTGGAAAACTTGCATCCCACTGGGTGTTAAAGGGTCACCAGTGACCCACACCATGCACCCTATCAACATTACTACAATAACAACATGGTACACATGAGTTATCTCCCCTTGTACATTTGGATGAAAAAAAGACTATTCGTACTTGTGGGAGAATATTTTGTAACTTGAAAAGAATGAAAGGATTGTTAACATCAGGACTCACAACATAGACGGTTCGGTCGTCAACATCAGGAACACTCTGAAATGGTTCAGTTCTCTTGATCTTTGTCTCCTCGCTGTTCACCTGCAAAACAAACATTTAGCATGTTTAGCATTCACTTGCAAAACACAAATATTCACCTGCCTAAAACACAAACATTCACCATATTCACCTGCAAAACACAAGCATTCATCATGTTCATCATTCACCTGCAAAGCACAAGCATTCACCACACACCTGCAAAGCACAAACATTCACCATTCACCTGCAAAAAAACAAACATTCATCATGTTCACCTGCAAAACATAAACATAAATCATTCACCTGCAAAACACAAACATTCCCCATAAACATGATAACTGCACAGTAATATACCCTGGGCTTGAGGGTGTCTTTTAACCACTTTACAACTGCACCTGCTAAAAGTTGACCAGAAACACCAACATGGGAAGGATGTGGCAGGATTGATGCATACAACTAGATAGTCATGGTAACATGATTTAGGGAGGATGCATACCTGAGTGATATTCAGTGGACAAGCTCACAGGCTCTACAACTTACCTCCAACAATTTTGATTTCTTTAAAGACCTAGCTATTGTCTTGACTTCGTCTGTCAGCTGGCGAATCTTGTTGAACTTGAGAAATATAGAAATATCTATGTCTGAAACCAAAAATTCATTCTGTACCGTCACTTTGCCAAATAAATAATGAGTTGAAAACATTTTAGAACATCATCAACATACACAGACTGGAAGCTGGCCCTGTCCCTGCTAGTTTACAAAAAAATAACATAAATGCATTAGAGTGCGTGGGTGAGTTGGGTTTAACGCCACTTTTAACAGTATTCCAGTTATATCACGGCGTGTCAGCTTAATGTGGGAGGAAAGACTGAAGTGATGCAGGTCTCAGATGTTTACCACTTCGGTGAAACCCATGAGGACAGGTATGATGCTGACAAACCTGGAAACATAATCGGTCGGAACCGGGATTCGAACCCACAATCATAGGTTTCTGGCGTGCCCAAGGGACGCAACTCTGCACAGCGAATTGCGGCGCCGTAGAAGACTGGGCCGCCCGTGCCCCCAAACAAATCAGAAAGATATACTAGTTTCCCTCTACCCTGGCGTGTCCCGAACGCATAAAAATGTCTGGTGTACCATACATTCATTGTGCACTATTATGTAACACGTGTACTACATGTGCAGTATGTCTACTATATGTACCATATATACAGTGTCAATATCAACTAGCATTCCATACAATACACAGTCCTGCATCTTATATAAGAAACACATGTGGAATTCAAATACTCTTACATCCATCGTCAGTCTTGCCAATCTCTTTCTTCAAGAATCTGTCCTTCTGTAGATTGGAGTCACTGAAGTAGAACTCCATCTAAAATGAATGTGGGATCATGAGTTCACAATGGATTGATTTAAGAAATTTGATTTAACTTGCACCAGTTGCATGTTGACATGAAAATCAAGTTGCACCAAACAACCAACAAACATACCGCTAAATAATCAAAATATGCATTGCACGCAATAGAAACACTGTACCACTCAAAATCTAATGTACATCAACAATCAAATCTACATGCATTACGGCCTAAGTGTACATGCTCATGTAATTGTTCAAATGTCATCTACAGTCTTAAGGATGCAATTAGGAGCAACAGACAACCTGAGACTGGATTTTCTTCCTCATCTCTTTCATCCTTTTCCTTGGCTTCTTGGTCTTGGCAGCAGCAACATCCTGATCATTTGTATCCTCAGTCGTGAGTGGTGGGATCTAGCAACAATACATTACAATGGTTACAGTGAACTGACATTACTTTTCCGTAGTGTCAATATATATCTTGATATCAATTTTTATCTGATATTTGATTCAGAAAACTTGACATCATCATAACTCCACATAAGAATCAGTAAGTGAATGTGTTTTACAATTTAAACATCCAAGGCTCCCGAACATGTTTTGGCTATTGATGGTTTTCTTTGGGTATTCAACATATTTTTGCTGCCTTGGCTCCAGTCTGTTGTGTATTTCTACACCAATGAGTTGACATTTCTTAAAATAGTTCTGCTTAAAAAGTTATTTTAGGTGACCTCAGATTAGGGTCTGTTTGAATGCGGCTCTAAGTGTGTAACATGTTGCATAAAATCGCAACAGCAATAAACATGTACATTTCTAACAAACAATAAGCGAGATGCCCCTATTTGGAATTATTCAGTTATAGATCCTGATGCCACAGCTAATTAAATTTGACCAGCTCAGTCCATCCTTTCATCGCTTTATAGATGGGGTATATCAATTAGCATCGATTTTGAAGGCTTGTACAGGAGGGGTCGCCCTATACTTGGGGGTGCTTTATAGATGGAAGTATATGGTATGTTGGGGAGTACTGCACTTTACCAGCTGCATTTTTTTGTATTTCAAAGAGCAACATGTGACGCATCAAATTCATATGTTGCCAGCTTGAAGCTAAGATAATGAGTCAGTCTACTTAGCTTAACCACAGAAGCCACGGACACCATCACAAATAATTAGTGCTTGTGTAACTTGTTAGCAGCACCAGATTGTTTTTCTTGATTCACATGCATGGTAGCCAAATGTCTCCATTAAACTCGAAACTTGTTAAAATTGAATGGATTTTCCTCAAACTTCATTGGGTTAATTTTTCAAAAGAAATGAGATATCCAACTCATAAACTCACTTATTTGGAAAGGGGATCCAAGAACAGGAACTTGTTATTGGTCAGTAAAAAAATATGCACCCCCTATATGTTTTCTACCTACACATAGGGATAAAACAGTTTACAAATGGTTATACCTTTAAATCCATGTCAGCAACAAACAATTGTTCAGCTTGTTAAAAGAGCTGACAAAATTCTTATCTTCTGCGGCTGTACTTCAACTTCTTCAGCAAAGGAGGTAAACAAATCGCCGCGCTTGCGCCGGGGAAGTTTCTCTCAGTTATCTCATTATTCATTGGCTTTTCGGGATCCTTTAAACCAATGAGATTCATTGTTGCAAATAAATTATGCACTTCCTGTATTTATTCAAAATGGCGACGTAAATGATAAGTTTAGTGTTGCGTAGGGACGTTTTGTTCTTTCTTTTGACAGTTCTAATTAGCTGACACACTATTTGTGCAAAATGACGGACGATCCGATGAGGTTTGCCCACAGCTTGATACCAAATCCAAACATACCTCCAGATTATAATATATTGGCCAATGCCATCTCAAACTGTTCGGGGCCGGTCGTTCATCAAATGTTGAAGCAGAACCCAGACTTGGTGAATTTAAAGGGTACGGTGAATGTCTTGTTTATAGTAGTAGAACAATATGATGTGCTCGTCAAGAACACGGTTTAGCGAACGTAGCTGCCTGTCTAGCAAATGCACTCAAACTTCACTGATAATACTTAACAGATGAGATGCATCAGATGGGATGCGGCGGTGTAGTCATGACCAGGATGTAGACCACAAGGGTCATGTCTTCACTGCACCCCATCACAGCTCTCGACAACAGGCAACCTGGGAGTCACCTAACAAATGGAATATCTCCATAACAAGAGAGCAAGATGACCCATGAGACATATCATATAATCCATGCCACAAGTGGGCTGTAGGTGAAATTCATAACCATTTAGAATTCGTAGCCACTCCCGATTTGTAGACAAATTCAGTGTGAACTTGTAGACAAAACACATAAATATTGTATTTCAAATCTTAAAGAAATTTAAATAAATATCTGTGAAATGGATACAGAAGGGGTGCAAGGGTAAATGCAGCACTATTGAAGAACACATCACATCAGTCCCAGACCACTGCCATCTGCCTTCAGAGCCCGAGGAACAAATCCGTTTCCGTAGCTGACTACGACATTGAGTACAAGAGGAAATAACTTCAGTCCAAGTGATTTATGAAGAAGAGATCTCAAGTCTGGATGAAATATGTTTTGCAACAATGCCTTCCTTCACAAGTGTCAAATCCAGCCTCCATCGGTGGAAGAATATACCAACATTGCCACAGATATCTGCACAGGTTGCCTTGGATGGTTCCTACACTCAGACCACTGAAAGTCGTCATTTCGAAATGTTGGAGATGTTAAGTGACAGTGATACGCTGTACATGGATGGAACATTCCATGTTTGACCTTGTTTGTGGCTGCAGGTTTACACAATTCACTGCATGGCAGATGGTGTGATGTACCCTGCTGCATATTCTCTGTTGCCTAACAAAACCAAAGAGACTTACGGGCAACTCTTCAAGATTCCAAAAGATGCCACCCAGACAGGTGTCCCACTAGAACCTGAGGTTGTACAGACACTCTTTGAACTTGCTGCCATTGTTGCTATTGAATAAGTTTGCCCTGATGCTGAGATACGTGGGTGCTTTTACACTACACCAAGGCTTTGTAGTGACATGTGTCAGAGAAAGAACTTTCCCGATAATACAAGGACAATCCTCAAGTACAACGCCATGTTAGAAGAGGTGATGCACTGTTTCCCCTACCTCAAGAGCTAGTTCAAGATGCCTTGTTAGATGTCATGAACATTGAAGAGTTTAATGATTATGTGACCACTGCTTGGGAGGACTATGATGCACGTATAGCTCAAATTTGGGACCAGTATCTGACCATCAGCCCAACAATGAACAACCATCTGGAATGCTTTCACAACAGACTGCAGAACAGAATGAAGACACCCCATGCTAACGTATTTCAGTTTCTCACTCACATGAAGTAGGATGAATATGCTGACAGAGTTAAGAGCCACCAACTGGATCATGGAGCTGCATCCTGGAGACGACCATGTGTCTACCATGACCTTGACCAGCATCTGATGAGCCTAAAGGAGCATCTTATGAGTGGAATAAAAACAGCACTGCTGTATCTCGATGCAACTTGACGTTTGATAAAGCAACAATAACAGTGACCTTCTGTCAATGAACTTTGTCAGTGAACCTTGTGTCAACTTGATCAACTGCAGCCTCTCTTGTTATTATTTGTGGAATAAAATAAATTTGAAATGTCTATTTGTGTACTTTGTTGTTATGTCATACATGGAAATGCGGGTACTTTGGTAGACACCATCATTGTGTATAGAAAGGGGTCTTGAGGCCTACACATGTTGTTGTAGGCACATTGGGCTGTAGGCACATTAGCCTAGTAGTTGCAATAATACTAAACCAATAGAGATGGATGCAGAAGCTCTAATTAATCCCTCCTCAGCTTTGATCTGCGGGTAATCCCATACTCCACTTACCAATCATGCTAATTGTCCTTCACGTCTTAAATATGCTTGCCTGATTATTTATTTCTAATAGTTACACTGAATCCTGCAAATCCTGTCAAAACAAAATATTAATACTGTAATCCACTCCACCCACCTATATCCTCATGAACCTCTTGTCTATCTTACTGTTGTTGAGGTAAGTGAATGACCCTGATAGTAATTATTATACCCCCGACCTTTTAGGAAGGGGGTATATAGTTATACCAAGGTTACGTCCGTCTGAAAACTTTGTCCGCGCGATTTCTCATTAAACTATTCAGTTGATTCATCTCAAACTTAGTACATATAATCTGTGTCATATGGAGGTGTGCAGTCAAAAGAAAAAAATTGTTTTGATTATTTTTCCATTTTTTTAATGAATTTTACAAACCCCAACCCTATCCATTATTTAATTTAAAACTACTAACACATTAGACGGGTCGGGGGTATTAGTGAGCCATGCTCACTTTTGCCCTTGTTAGTAACTATTATCAATCAGTTCAAATATAAAAAAATGTGTCCATGAATTCACACCAGGTTTGTCTACAAGTTCACTGTAAATTGTGTCTATGAGTTGGGGGTGGCTATAAATTCACCGTTTCCCCACCAGTGTGTGTGAAATTACATGTTTTAGCATGATTAGTGGTTAGTTTTTCTGCAGCCAGAAAGTGTTACAATAATATTAACTGTTGAAAATGGGATCGGGAAGGAGTCAACAATTCCTGTAAACAAAATGTTTTTGTCCTAACTTTATTCACTGAGTTAACTTTCTTTAATACTTTTAAAATGAATGAGTATGGTGAGGGAAAGGCAGGAGTGTGACACTGATACAAGATCTGAGAACGAGACATTTTTGTTTTCCCCTGGCCACACTGGATGTACTATTGAGTAAACGTTAATGAGTAAACTCTAGTGAGTAAACGTTAATGGTTTTGTCATCGTCAGCATGGCATGGCCAGACTGCTCTACACAGAGCCTGCCTGGGTGGGAATTCCGACATCGTTGGGCTGCTGCTGCAAGCTGGAAGTAATCCGAATGAGCCCAATGACTTTGATGAGACACCACTACACTATGCAGCCAAGAGAGGAAACTTGCAAGTTTTCCAGATGTTGGTTCAGTTTGGAGGGGATGCAACACTTACGGACAAGAATGGAAAAGGGATGATCCATCATTCCGCCGAGACTGGGACCGTGTGAGTAGAAGACATCTCATTTGTAAATCTCAAAGCTGTTTGCTAGAACACTTGTTCTGATTTTTCTATGTAATTTGCCTTCCTTGGGTTTCCAGTTAGCTTTGGATTGGCTGCTTCTCTGCACAGAAGATATTGAAATCATCAAACGTTTTTAGAGAACACACGCACATCACTGCTGTAATCAACACACGTCTTTATTCCATTACTGTACAAATCCAACTGTCCAATCGGTCTAACTGCACTCTCAGTCATTCCATTCTTACCGTGCACCCGCTCACCTAGCTACGCATCCCCTTCATTCGCCATTCGTTCTACATCCTTTTAGAGTTATCCCCCATTACACTGATGTACACAAGCTCCTCACAGTGACAGCCCATTCGTGGAGCCACCAGTCAAAGCTCACCACTGTGATATAGGTGGCTACAACCATGCTGACCGCCATGTTTACAATCAAGTGATGACTGCCGTGACGCCGAATGCGCTTGCCTCAGCTGAATTATTTTCTTTGTTTGTCACTTTGAATTTCGGTTTCATTTCAACTATCATGTAATTGCTATAGTAAGAATGTAAGGGAGAAGTTTTGGGATTTTCCATTAGTCTGCAGTCTCGAACCAATCTGATCAAACAAACAAAAAGGTAAATTCATCTGGGAAATATGGTCCGCCGTAAACCTTTTCAAAATGAACTATGATGGCATTCCCAAAGACATAAACAAAAGTATGTACATTATTACATTTGGGGTTAGAGGCCAAATTTCAAGATTCATGTAATGGCCGCGCCCACACTAGTGGCAGAGATGTTACCGAGAGTGTAACGAAGGTGTCACACACTGGGAAGGAGCTTTTGCTGCACATGTCACACAAGTTACCTCCCCTTATACTAAGATATTATGTACTGACTTTCAAAGACAGACTTGGCATTTTACAAGTGGTTCATGGTAAATTTGGAATTGTGAGCTTGAGATTATAAACCCTTTGGCTTTAAAGCATATGCATTACTATTTTCAGTAAAATTGTGAAGGAAAAGCATTGGAAATATCTCTGCAACAAATCATCTTCTTGTATATAAAACAATACATAATAGACCACATATGCATGTTTACACATGTTAAAGATCAGTTTGGTCCAGTAGGTCAGAGGAAAGAGTGATGTTTCCACTGTATGATATGCATGGTGAATATCCACAGATACATGCTCCACTATCTGTGGGAAGTTCAGCAACTCAGCTTATCAGATCCTGATGCCAAACGTCTCACACCTCTACATATTGTGTGCAAACATGGCCAAGTGGACTCCCTGAAGTATCTTCTCAAGAAAGGGGTAACTTCTTTTAATAGTTCTTAATCTGTGTACACGGTGTCAGTTGAATAAAATGAAAATTATTGCCTTAAACTTGTTACCACAGGGACATCTTCTGATTCATATGTGTATTTATCCCCCATGAAAGTTATAACATTTGTAGAGATTGCCGATATGATGTGTTATTGACAATAATGTTAAATAAGCATTAGGGCCTCTTACTCTTCATGACCGCCTCCGTGGTCTTGTGGTAGAGCGTCCGCCCGGAGAGCGGAAGGTCCAGGGTTCGATCCCGGGCCGCGTCATACAAAAAGACGTTAAAAGATTGTACTTGTTGTTACCCTGTCTGGTGCTCGGCATTAAGGGGCTAAAACAAGGACTGGTCGGCTCGGAGTCAGTATACTGTGTCTGAGTGGGGTATTCATGTTAAACTGCGGCATGGTATCTCAGTGAGCTAGCACTATAAATCGGCATCAGTCCGGACTAGTACAAGCAGCCACACACACACATACACGTGCATGCACGTCGCTATATAAGTGCAATAATCTTGGACGCGACGTTAAACTCAATTTCACCTCACCTCACCTCTTACTCTTCATTGCTCCTGTTATCAATGAATATAAGCCATCTCCACAAAGCGATAACATTAGTTATCACCTGTATTTGCAGTTCATCTGGCCTGATTTTAATCACCACCACAAAGTGATAACATTAGTTATACTGTCTTGACTGTATTCATGGTATCAGCATGAACTGGGAAATGGTGAAGTCCAATTTGGGAATGTTTGTGGACACTCACTGCAGACTTGGGGCTGATTACTGGCTGATGAGCAAGTGTAGCATGGGCGGATCCAGAGGGGAGGTCAAGGGGATCCGGACCCCCACCCTCCTTTTTGAGAACCAAATGTAGTATGTTGCAGTTTTGTAGACACTGAGAGAAGATCTTTTCTATTTTGGACCCCTCCCTTTTCAAAATGCTACATCAACCCTTGTGTAGATAGATCTGTGACTTGTGTCTTCCTCCCACAGAGATGCAACCTGTACGCGACGGACTGCGAGGGCAACACGGCGGTGCACATGGCGGTGCAGGAGGGGCACAGCTACATGACCTGGCTGCTGCTGGAGGTCATGGGGACCAAAGTGTTAAATGTCACCAACAACGAGGGTTACACTCCTGGGGATCTCGCAACAATGAGGGACAAGACAGGGTAGGATATAAATAATCTATATGATCATGACTTTTCTGGAGAAATTGTTTCTGAGCTGATGTTTTTCATTCGGTGAATGATTCTCAGCTCCCTGGGGAGGCAAAGATGATCTGATGTTGACCTGATGAAGGAGTAAGTATATGCTCTGAAATGTTGTGTTTCTCATAATAAAGAAGTTGACATCCATAAATTCTCTTCCTTATGTGTATAACTTCCCAATGGCATTAAAAGAAGAGAATATAGATCCCAAGCAAGCTGTGGTTGTTGTAAGAGGCCACTAAATGAGGCTCGGTTGATTGCATGTCATCATATCCCAATTGTGTGGTCCAGACTCGGTTATTTACAGACCGTTGACATAAAGCTGGAATATTGCTGAATGAATCATTAAACAACAAACAAATAAAAAACTTCTATGACACTGGTTGATGTTCGTCTTTCTATAAACCAGGCACAGAGAACTTGTTCCATTATTGAAGCAATTTCGGAGGGCCCCCACGGCCCACCCCCGTGGCCCTGTGTTGAAGTGGTACTTCTACCTGCTTCTCCCTGCTGCTGCCTTCGCTGTGTCAGTCCTGGTGTCCAAGCTTGCGGGAGACAAGTATCAGGGCGTGGTCGTGTTTGGGGGCCTAGGTGCAGTACTGTTCCATCTCAGAGACCAGATGCATAGATTCACAGATATTAGCAGGTGAGGTGGTGAGATTTTTGCTCAGTTAGCTAAATACTCAAGACCAATTTGATTCCTAGATTATTTTATTTTTGTTTCGGGTCAAATTGTAAGAGGCAGGTGGCATAAAACAAATCAAACAAATATTGTAAGGGATAATTTGAGGTGAATTATTTAAAAAAAAGTCTTGAAAAGATATCGTATAATGTAGTACAGATGAACAGCACTTTTTTGTATTTCTGGGGGTTTTTTTTGCATGAATTCTGGCGTAAATTCCAAACATTTCATCTATTTAAAGTATCCGTGAACAGATTGGATTAGTTTAAAATGTGTCAAGTTTGGTAACATGTGGTTCCCATTCTGAAATTTTGCCTGATTGTGTCACCAGATGGCCGAACCCTGTCCATGCGGGGACGTTTGCAGCTGGCCTCTTCCACACTGCCTTCTACTTCTTCGTCGCCATCATGCCTTGTATCCTTCATGAGAAACATTCACACGGAGATCCATGCACACTGAAACTTTATTAGTCTAGGGGTCCTTGAATAAATTAGTTGCGATCCATCGGAAGACCGATTTTGCTCTTATGTTGCTATAGGTGTGCACTGTTTGACCTAAGAAACAAGCGATGTTCAACTCTATCAGCAACTTGTCTAAATACAGTGTGTTGCACAGTGATGTATTGCACATTCAACTGATGCTGTCTGATGCCAACAGCCCATATTGTTTATGATTTTATTTCACTTTCTGAGTATCAGTCCATATCATTTCAGGGTTTTACTGTAGGCGCGACAGGAGTGTAGGCACACTGGGACTGTAGGCACAATGGGACTTAAAAGCCATTGGACACTGTGCCTCTTGAAAATCTTTTATCATTGATGCCTATTTCATCCTTGAAACGGGGGCACGGGTGGCCAAGTCGTCTAAGGCGCCGCAATTCGCTGTGCAGAGTTGCGTCCCTTGGTTGCGCCAGAAACCTATGATTGTGGGTTCGTATCCCGGTTCGCCCCAATTATGTTTCTAGGTTTGTCAGCACCATACCCGTGCTCGTGGGTTTCACCGAAGTGGTAAACGTCTGAGACCTGCATCATTTCAGGCTTTCCTCCCACATTAAGCTGACACGCAGTGATATAACTGGAATACTGTTATAAGCGGCATTAAACCCAACTCACTCACTCAAAATCATCCTTGAAACACTGAGGACACCCCACACATACTTCACACAATTTGGCTTTGTAAATACCTTGTTTCCTTGTATGTTGAGGATTTCCTTGTGATATCTTGTAAACTGTCACCATGTAGGTTCTCACAGCTAGCAAAACAGGAACATATTTACCAGGATCAGAAATATGTATATTATCTAAGTAGGGCCTCATGTCGAAAACAGATAAGTTGCACCACACACTTGACATCCTTGAAGATGTAATGATGGTGAATGTATTATTTGTAAAGGACATTCCATGTTAGAAAACAAGATATATTGCTGGCATCGGACAGTCCTCTGTTGGCAGTGTAGTATTGTTAGAACATTTGCTTTAGATTACAAGAATTAAAGTAAATGTACGTCATGAAAATGTAGCCTGTGTCGACATTTCTTCGTTCATATAGGGTTCCTGTAACAATAAATCTAAAAATACCTTCACTTTACTTTGAAAAAAATAATATAGCAAAGTTAATCCATATCTGTTGAGGTAAAATTATTAACTGTAAAGTGTGGTTAAATTGTTACATGCGTGATAATACATTGTATGCAAGTTTGAAGCCATGACATTGGCACCGATCAGTACTATGCAGTGCATTTTGGTGTTAACAGCGATTTCGACATGGCTTTCCATTTGTGATATGTTTTATGCAACACTGCCAAGACTCTCCTGGACGTTTTTTGGGGAACACAACACATATTTAAAGGGCCAATATTTGAACACGTTAATCCAGAAATTTGATTAGGCAATTTCAGCGGAATCTGTACTGTCTGGATAGACAGGATTTCACTGTTCACCCTATAGGATTTGCATTTCATGTATTTATACATTTTAAAAGATTTCATCCATCCGGAGCAGTTTTCATTATTTTCTTCTTATCTGAGTAAGAAGCAGGGTGATGTCCTGGACCCGGTTGTATCAAAGCCTCATTAACTAATGGCTACATTAAACCCTAATGATACATTAAATGCTTAATGCACCATTAGTTAATGGCATCATTAAAATCGGTTGTATCAAACGTTTATTAGCATATCATTATCTAATGATGCCTTAATGTAAGTGTCTTCATTAACCTGTCATTAAATTCGGTGTTTCCCCTAAATATTTCCCACAATTCCTTGAAGTAAACACGTACGCGTTACTTCCGGTCGTCTGTCAAAATGGCATCGTATCCACCTAAACCTAGGAATAGAAACAAGAATTTCGACAGCTCCGAAATTCAGCTTATTGCCGAGTTGGTGGAGAAACACATCTCCATACTGATATATCTGATGCTTGCCTTCCCAAAACGGTAGCGTGCCCTTACTTCTTCATCGCTCATGGATTCGAGGTGTTGAGTTCGTTTTCTGAAAACACGGTCTTTCCTTGTGCGTCCTAAGCGTTCAAACAATATGTTCGCGGCCATGTTTGTTTTTAATGACACGCTAATGATGCCCCAGAACCTTCATTAAGTTAATGACACCACGACGTCATTAAAACGTTAGTACAACTCGATTTAATGATGCATTAGTTAATGAAGGTTTAATGACACGTTAATGCATCATTAAAGTTTGATACAACCGGGTCCTGTTAGTTATTTTAATGAACATGTGAATTTCAGTAAGGTATTGTTTTTATCTTGTATAGAGTTCATGTGATCGGTGAAAATTGCGATTCTTCAAAGGGGGGTGTTTAAACCCCAATGACCCAGCCAGGATGTAAAACGTGTTAATATTTTTGTTTTGTGAGGCTTTTTTCTTTTGGGAAGAAGTGTTGGAATGTATCTTCCAACAGCCAGCCTTGACTCTCCATCAGACATGACACAGCATCTATACATCATGTGCCTCACCCCGATGTATGCAGTCGGCCTCGTCTACCTCTACTGGACAATATTGTTCACTGATCCAGGTAACTCATTATCAACTGGATCCCTTGGGGATTCCAGGTTAGAATTGCTCCCGAGCAACTTATGTTTGCTGTTAGAGGCGACTCAATGGATTGGGTGGTCAGACAAGGTGATTTGGTTGATGGCGAGCCGCCATGTTAGACACTGTATGTAGCGTTTGGGTTCCACTTCCAGACATTTTGTGGACAAGACGCAATACTTGGTGAAGACTAGACTTATCAACGGCACGTACAGAGACACAAGATGACATGCATTCAGACGGACATTTAATTAACAACCGAGAACGAAATACAATACGGGTAACAAGACTTCCGGTTGACGATACTATGCACCTAACAACTAATTTTAACATGACCATGATAACACAAACCTCTGCTGAACACTACATTATTCATCTTGTTTACTGCTTGTTATTTCAGCTTTTACCAAAAATAATACATGAAATTACAGACAGTTTGAATATAAAATACAAAAGCTTGAGAATAATACTTGTTTGTTAAAAATTACCACTAAATGATTTCAATTGTCTGGAAAGTAGTGGGGGCACGGGTGGCCCAGGCACCTCAATTCGCTGTGTAGACTTGCATTCCTTGGGCACGCCACAAACCTATGATTGTGGGTTCGAATCCCGGTTCACCCTGATTATGTTTCTAGGTTTGTCAGCACCATACCCGTGCACATGGGTTTCACCGAAGTGGTAAATGTCTGAGACCTGAATCACTTTGGGCTTTCCTCCCATATTTAGCTGATACGCCATGATATAACTGGAATAATGTTAAAAGCGGCGTTAAAGCCAACTTACTCACTGAAAAGTAGTTGCAGTGTTTTAGCATTAACTATGTTCAGTCTTTGAAAGGCATTTAGAAGTGATACACATAAGGAAAAGAATTTATGGATGTCAACTTTTTTATTATGAGGATCATAATGTCCTTCATCAGGTGAAGGAGTAAGCATATTCTCTGTGTTCCTCATAAAAAAGTGGTTGACATCCATAAATTCTCTTCCTTGTTATCTATGTTGACATGTGTATCTGGTACTTTATGTGAAACCTATTCATTGACAACAACATCCAAAGTCCAAGTGACAAAAGACCGCCTCTGTGGTCTAGTGGTAGAGCGTCCGCCCGGAGAGCGGAAGATCCAGGGTTCGATCCCCGGCTGCGTCATACCAAAAGACGTTAAAAGATTGTACTTGTTATTATTGTCTGGCGCTCGGCATTAAGGGGCTAAAACAAGGACTGGTCGGCTCGGAGTCAGTGTACTGTGTCTGAGTGGGGTATTCATGTTAAACTGCGGCATGGTATCTCATTGAGCTAGCACTATAAATCGGCATCAGTCCGGACCAGTCGCTATATAAGTGCAATAATCTTGAACGCGACGTTCAACCCAATTTCACCTCACCTCACCAAGTGACAACATCTGTACCATCATGCAGAGAGAGCCTCTTTGCCGCACCTGAATTAACACTTGACTCACCTGCAGAGATAAAGTTTTAAATCACTCACTGTCTGTGTGTATTGACTGGGCCTGTCTTGTAGCACTGACCTCCCTGCTGCATGGTGTGTATATCTTCCTTCAGGTTCTGTATCCCAGTCGGAAGTAGATGAGAAAACACTGAAGCCTCTCACTATCCTTGACCTTTGTCTTCCTGGTAAAAAATTGGAGCAGTTTTGTATTTTCTGCGAGGTGAGTTCCCCAAACTATATACAAGCCACCCTGATACAGTCAGTGCCCCATACCTTTTAGTCTACAAGCCAAAACATAGCTCTTTACATCATTGGCAGTGTTTTGTTAGTGTTGTTATATGGGCTTTTTATTGGCAGAGCTTACTAGACCAAACAGAATTTTTACAAGACATGGGCTTTGGACTGGTGGCTAAAGTCGCAGACTGCTTATACTGACTTTAGCATAAAATAACATTCACTCACTCCAGTTTGCAGTGAAACACTTTCTTTTACAGCCTCTTTCATTTGTTATGATTTGTATCATGTATGGAAGGCATTTGCATAATGTGAAGAAAATAATTTATGTAGCCTTATGAAATTGTTTTCCAAATCCATAATAGAGGATATAGCCTCTGTGGTCGAGAGGATAGAGCCTCTGTGGTCGAGAGGATAGAGCCTCTGTGGGTGACAGGATAGAGCCTCTGTGGTCGAGAGGTTGAAAGGTCGATGGTTTGATCCCTGGCCGCATCATACAAAAGTTGTTAAAAAATTGTACTTGTTGTTTCCATGCCTGGTGCTCGGCATTAATGGGATAAAACAAGTACTGGTAGACCGAGTCAGTATACTGTGTCTGCGTGGGATATCCATGTTAAACTGTGGCATGATATCTAGTGGGCTAGCACTATAAAACAGGCTTATAAGTCCAGACTAGTACAAGCAGCCACACACACACACACAAACGTGTGTTGATATATGTGCAATAATCTTAAATGCCACATGAATCCCCACTTCATCTCACTCATTGATTCTATGATCTGCGAAATCCCCAAATTCTAGTAATTAACTCGCAGTTAATATTTTCCTACAGATAGTGCGTCCACCCCGAACCAAGCACTGCCGCCTCTGCAACAAGTGTTTCCGCGACATGGATCACCACTGCCTGTTTCTCCTACAGTGTATCGCACAGAAAAACCACCTCCGCTTCCTCTGGTTCATCGCTCTCAACATCATCGCCATGGTGATCTTTCTAGCCATCTCAACATCGCATCTGTTTGAAATATACCCCAAATTAACAATATTTGAAATAGGCATGACTCTGTTTCACAGCAATGCGTGGCATTTGTCTCTCATCGGACTCAACATGGCCTCCATCTTCTGGGGGGTGAATTTACTACTGTTTCAATTCCGGATGGTTGGGAATGGTTTCACAACGTTCTATCAACCCAAGCAAAATGTGGATGTTCTCACGTCAATGGAGAAGTGTATGAATGTTGTGTATTTTCTGTTAGGTAGAAGACCTTTTGCAAGAAATCCGTTTTTAGGGAAGGAAATGAACGTATAAAAAATGCACATTTTATTGCATCATGTGGTACATATAAATGTATAAATTTATGATTTTTCTGACGAATAACCCCTATCCTTATATCATAGATATAAATTTTATGGCTTCATATTTATATGCAATGAATAATAAGAAAATGAACTTGACTGGGAGCAGTTCTATTACATGTCACTGAAGTTTGGCTTTTCCACATGTGATACAAGTTGGCTTTAATCGTTGATTAGTCATTACATACAGTGAGTCTAGTGTCCTCAACGGGCTTATGTAAGTCTTGTCTAGTGTCCACAACAGGCCTATGTAAGTCTTGTCTAGTGTCCACAACGGGGCTATGTAAGTCTTGTCTAGTGTCCACAACGGTACTATGTAAGTCTTGTCTAGTGTCCACAATGGGCCTATGTAAGTCTTGTCTAGTGACCACAACGGGCCTATGTAAGTCTTGTCAAGTGTCCACAACGGGCCTATGTAAGTCTTGTCTAGTGTCCACAACGGGCCTATGTAAGTCTTGTCTAGTGTCCACAACGGGCCTATGTAAGTCTTGTCTAGTGTCCACAACGGGCCTATGTAAGTCATGTCTAGTGTCCACAATGGGCCTATGTAAGTCTTGTCTAGTGTCCACAACGGGCCTATGTAAGTCTTGTCTAGTGTCCACAACGGGCCTATGTAAGTCTTGTATGTGAAAGTCAGTTTGTGAGAAGTTTTGAAACAGGCAGCATTATTTTGTCTAATAATGTATGTTGGCAAAGATTTTGGATTCTAATGTCACAATATTTATGAAATTGACAATATTACAGCTGCATCTGTGGTGAGAAGCTTGAATGTTGTGTTTAGATATGTGTTAAATGTTATGAAGATGTGATCTTTATGTTTAGCCACAACCAGCTGTATAATACTGAACATTGTTCACAGTTATGATGTTGTAAGGCGTTTGTCAGACTTGGGCCAAGGAGGCCTGTGATTGTTTTCTTACCACATTTAAAATTAAAACAGTATTTTCCCCTCTTTTTACATTGATACCAAAAAGTTTTGAATTGGTTTTCATCTATATATTTTTTACATTCAAATTTTGCCATTTAGCTTATCCATGATCTGATGTCTTGCTAGTGTCGTCTTGGAAATGAAGAACTTTTCCAAACTTTACCTGAGTGGTTAGCAGTTGAGTGAGTGAGTTAAAAGAGGGACTATGCTCCACTGAATGGCTCCCAGTCTAGGGCCATCTTCCCGAGGCATGAAAGTTAACTGACTATAAAAGTCCAGTTTCTACCCTTGCCAAACTAGGCTGGTATTATGGAGTTACATTTTGTCTAGACTAACGAGTCATAGTCCAATCAAAATTGTGCAACGAAATTGAAATCCGGTTCGTAAACTGTCGTGCAGTATTCGGTCGAATGCAGGATTTGCAAAGCATGTGCAATGCCAACTCTTTGTCAACAGATATGTTCTAAATTTTTTCATATTTTTAATCAAGGTGCTCACGTAATTTGATGCACCTTGCGATGTAAGACCCATTTTATCACAATATAGATCTTGATTATCGATCAGATCATCTTGACTTGGCGCCGTCAATTTTTTTTTAAGCAAATGCAAGTGATACGAGAGGTGGAATTAATTGGTCCATAGGAAAGACTTAGAAGGGACATAACTCGTAATAACCACTGGTGGCGCTTCGATCGAGCCCTAGAATTCCAGACTAGTTCAGCAAGGGTAGAAACTGGACTTTAAGTCAGTTAACTCTCGTGCCTCGGGGAAGATGGTCAAGGGCTTGGTGATGTTATTACTGCATTGTGTGAGACAAACATATCGTCTCTGTGCAAATGAGGTTATCACTAGCTTAAATTTTGAAAACAAAATACAAATGTTTGTTGTCAAACAAATAAAATGTGTCTTTGAATGGCTTGAATTAAGCCTGTTTCACTGCCCATGGGCCACGGCTAGTCCCTTTGTAACATTGGTTTTTTAACAGTATTTCAGTTCTCTTTCAGTGTCATTAAAATCAAATCTTGTATTCCGATATGATACATCTCTGTGTTAAGAACTGAGGATACATCTGTTAATCAGCGTCTTGGATTTTAAGTTCTCAATAAGAGTGAGCAAAGTATTCAGGGAAGCATATCTGATTTCTGTATCTCAAAATCAAATATAATCGGCGGGAAAGGTAAAGCATGTGGATATGTTATACCCAAACGATTGTACTAACGAGGGTATGTTCGTATTCTGGGGCGTTGTTTTCTTTTTGACGAGAACAAAATTTACAAATTGAGATGGTAAAAAAATGAAGCCGAATCGTCAAAACAAATTGACATCTAAAACCCTCAGGAACCCAAGCATCCTACATTTTAGTTGGACGGTCTGAGTTCAGTCAGGGTTCACCTGACCCGACTGAGGAGGTGTCCTCGTGTTGTGATGCAGAGAGGTATCATGTGGAGGTAACAGATCTGATTTAATCACATTGGTTCTGTCACGGTATGTTATCATCATGAGTGTTGTAACCCTAATGTAATACAGGTCCAACAAAGAGTTATAACTGCTATGAAGCTGGGATTAAAACCAATGACAGATTTGACAAGACAGCATGGATATAAACAGCATTCTGGACCTAAGCAACATTCACGCATTCAATCACTGACACCCAAAACGTAATTGAAATTAACAAGTCCCTCTTAACTCATACAGTAACACCCCATTCCATAAAATGATGGACCAACGTTACTATTGACTTTCAAAAGGTGCTCAGTCATATTTTTGGTGTGGACAAAGGACTGGTGTCTTCAGCGTGGGAAGTGGTTGTCCGGGATTGCTCCAGCCCGATGATGTACTTGTACTGTGTAATATACGGTATGAGGATTGCTCCAGTCTGATGATGTACTTGTATTGTGTAATATACGGTATGAGGATTGCTCCAACCTGATCATGTACTTGTATTGTGTATTGTACGGTATGAAGAGCTCTCCATTCTGATGATGTACTTGTATTGTGTAACGTACGGTATGAAGAGCTCTCCATTCTGATGATGTACTTGTATTGTGTAACGTACGGTATGAAGAGCTCTCCATTCTGATGATGTACTTGTATTGTGTAACGTACGGTATGAGGATTGCTCCAGTCTGATGATGTGCTTGTATATCGTGTAATATACGGTATGAAGATTGCTCTAGTCTCATGATGTATTTGTATTGTGTAATATACGGTATTAGGATTGCTTCTGTATGGTATGGTATGGTATGGTATGGTATGGTATGGTATGGTATGGTATGGTATGGTATGGTATGGTATGGTATGGTATGGTATGGTATGGTATGGTATGGTATGGTGCTACACATGTTTGATGGCAGACAGGTCTGTGTGCCCCCCAGCTAAATACTGAACTGTTTTCATTGTTGGTTCTCATGCTGCCGTGTTTAGAAGTGCTTATCCCTTACTGTGTCATGACTGAATATCCTCCATCAGTACCATTTGTGACTCTGCTTCATGAAATTCCACAAGGTGTTGTCACCGAGAGATCTGGACATGTAAATCAAATGGGGTTTGGTTCCTGATCAGACTGATTCTGTGTTGTATTTATGACCTGGTTTCTTTCATGTAAAACCTGATAATGGTTGATCATACAGAAAACTGTTGATTGTTGACCAGCTCTTGTTTGGACCCTCTCTCACTTATGCACAAGTGTTTGTTTGTTTGTTGTTTAATGTCGCACTCAGCAATTTTCCAGCTATATGACGGCAGTCTGTAAATAATCAAGTCCGGACCAGACAATCCAGTGATTGATATCATGAGCATTGATCTAGGCAATTGGTATACGATGACATGCATCAACCAAGTCAGTGGGCCTGACCACCCGATCCCCTTAGTCGCTGCTTACAACAAGCATAGTTGCCTGTTACGGCAAGCATGGGTTGCTGAAGACCTATTCTACCCCGGATCCTCACGGGTCTATGTACACATGTGCATTGTGTGCAACTGACTGACCATGACTGGACCATCTGTACCCCCTACAAAGGATGAGGGTCAGTCTGGTTGGACCTTCTCTCGCCCTGGACACTCTTTCACCTATACACAAATGCATTGTGAGCAACTGACTGACCATGACTGGACCATCTGTACGCCTTACAAAGGATGAGGGTCAGTCTGGGTGGACCTTCTTTCACCCTGGACACTCTGACCTCATTACAGATGTTTTTGACAGAAAACAGCAGTGTAGAAGGGGTATATAATTTCCATGTACAACAAGTTTTTACACTACTGCTTGATCGCTGACACCAAATTTTGACTTGTTTTGTATGGTCTTAATATAAGCCGCAATCCCCTTCGTCAATTTTCTAAGTACCCATGGTGCTTAATCAGTCAAATATACGGTAATGAAACGCAGGAATTCTTACAAACTGAGCAGTTATGTGTTTATCACAATAACAAAAGAACATGTATAGACATGTAAGACGGTTTAGATTAAATGAAAACGGACATTTGTGCACACATTGGAGAAATATGTAAGAATATATTTTTTAAAGTTTTTTGCAAATGAGCGGCATATATTTTACTGTGCGCCCCATGGTGCTAAATTTCAATGTTTGTTTAAGATTGTTTTGTTCAGAAAAATATGCTAATGTTATAAAGGGGGTCTTATAACAGTGTAAGGGTTATTACCACACATGACATGCTGATGTCCTTGATGATCAAAGCCAAAGTGGCACATACTATGATCAAACAATGAACAGTGCTGGTTTTGTGTACGGTAATCATGCTGTTAATGTGAACGTGAACAAATATATAAAGTGACCTGTTGTAGAATAGGAATATCATAACCCAGTGGGTATAATGTTGGATGATTAGTTTTGGGCGTTCAAATAATTCAAGGTAGCCACTGTTCAAGACATACTTACTGAATCTAGGCTAATATTTTTTCAATATTATAATATAAGTTTTTGTAGGAAAAAAGTTGTGATTCTGACTTGCTTGATATGGTATCTGCCTGAAAAGCACTTTGAAATGTGACAGGTTGCAAGGTTAATATTTCCCTGCAGCTATTAGAAATGTTTTACATTGTAGCTTGTGACGATGTAGCTTGTGAAGACTAACCAAATAGAGCCAAATATGACATTTTGCATGAAATGTATAATCCTGTCAAACCCGCCCTGTCTACAGTAAAGTGATCACTGTATAAATGTACTTGTGCCCCATGTGAGAACATTGCTATTACACCAGAAGCCTCTTTAAGATGTGGTCACATGCAGCTTCTGCATCTAGTCTTGTGTGTGCAGGTGTGTGCAGCTGCGTATATAGGTATGTTTATAATGTATGTGCTTGTGTTGGGCTGTCCAACGTGTAGATGTGCTGCTGTGTGCAGGTGTGTGCTGTTGTGTGCAGGTGTGTGCAGCTGCGTCTATAGGTATGTTTATAATGTACATGCTTGTGTTGGGCTGTCCAACATGTAGATATGCACATTTGACTATATTACTGTATATGTTTATGCAGTTTTCTCTTTGGTCACATAATATGTATTGGTATTATTTTGATGTTTCTTGACTTTAAAAAGTCGCCTGAATTCACAGCGCTATAAAATAGAGAAATAAAATATACATATATGCATAAGACCGTAAGGTGAGTAGGAGTGTGCACCGAGAAGAAAGGTTTATAAGTTAGCAAATGTGAGTAGATGTCGTAAAGTAGGATTACTCAATGTCCAGTGCAGGAGAAAGTTTGATGTTTAGAGGTGAAGTTTTCCACAAATTCAGAGCAGCAACTTGGAAACATCCCATTTAGTGTCAGGTTTCCCTTATCTCAGTGTCTGTTCATGTTGGTGTTGTTGGCTTCTGTTTGGGATGACAATACATTTGGTTTGGCCAGATAATGAGAAGAAATGAAGAAACTCTCCATGGAGTCCAGTAGATTTTCATGTTACTTATGTGTCGCATAAACCATGTTCACATCTGTTTCATGCTCTGACCTCATTGGCCAAATCATCTGAATATACATAATTGTGATTTATAAATATGGTCATTATAAGTGGCAGTAATTTATTGAAGGTAGATACTTTCACGTGCACATTACACCATGTGCATGTCATGGCTCCCAGAAGGCGCGACTCATTGCTCACAATATCAATCACTGGACTGTCTGGTCCAGACTCAATTATGTACCTGCTGCCATCATGGCTGGAATATTGCTGAGTGCTGCATTATACAACAAAGTTTAAATAGTCAATTAAACACATATTCTTGGATGTTTTCTGAATCCCTTGGACATTTCTCAACAATTTTGGTAAATTGTGCATGTCATCGCTCCCAGAAGGCGTGGCTCATTGCTCACAATATCAGTCACTGGACTGTCTGGTCCAGACTCAGTTATTTACTGGCTGCCGTCATGGCTGGAATATTGCTGAGTGCTGCATTATACATCAAACAAAGTTAAAAACAGTCATTTAAACACATATTCATGGATGGTTTCTGAATCCCTTGGACATTTCTTAACAATTTTGGTAAATTGATAAAATCATGAAAATTAATTATCCTCCTCAAGAAAAAACCCAAAGAACAACAGTACGGATTCGGTTTCAAATCATTCCCACAGTTTGCATGTAAGTGTATATCATGTATGTATCTGTTTGATGTGTGGAGTTGTCTTTGATCATGCTGTTTAATGGATGATGTGGTGATGTGTATCAAGATGTTGTTGTATATAACTGTTGTTTACTGCTGTACTGTGATGACATCATAGGAATTGTTTACTGTAATTCCCTACATGTGATAACATATTGATATGCATTGTATAATTTGTCAATATGATTTTGTATTTCACAGTTTTAATTAGTGAGATAAGCAACTTCAATCATTTGGACTGTAAGGATTCATTAAATGATTGGGACACCCCACCCTCACATTTGATGTTCAAGTATATGTGCCACACAATGCTGAACCCTGTGAAACCTGTACAATAGTCTGATATAAGGACCATATATTTTGTGTTGAAACAAATGTGCTCAACAAACTGTAGGAAAATCACAACCTGGCAGTTGAACTATAGTCATGTGAAAACTTGTGTTCTTTCACTTCTTTTGTATAGGTCTCCTGTTTTCCCTCTTGTTTTGTGACTATGAAGGGTAAAATGGATTTTTGACAGTTTCTACCATTCTTAGTTTAACTAAACCAGGTTTTTTTGTTTTGTTTTTGTTTTTCTTTCACTGAAATTGAAGGTCTCAAAGGCCAGTTTGTTTAAACGCCTGGGTGTTCCGACTTGCTTGTACATGTATAGAGAGAACTCCAAGAGTTTCAGGGGAGACAATCATCTTGACCATACCTGTTATGAATGTGTATAAAAATAACATGAGATGTAATACTTTAAGTGATAAATTCTCCATATTTGTATTCCTAATTAGACAAATACTAATAACCTTTTTCAAATAATGTTTTGTTTTTATATGATATATTTACATTTTTTATGATATAGCTATGAAAAAATTGAGATATGTTTACAATTTGATATATGACATGTGCTAATATGAACAAATTTTGACTAATCTGCTGAAGTCACAAATATGTCAATACTGTAGTTCACCTAATAAGCCCACCTTGTAGGTTCCCAGGCAATGGGCGCTCACAGCTTTAGCGAAGTGCTTCTGTTGGTCAATTGAATGTTTGTGGTAGCTATTCAGCCAACTGGTCTTGTGAGATCCTTCATAACATTATGTTCCTCATGACAAATTGATGTATTCCAGACATGACGCTTTATGGGTAACAGCTTTTTTATCGTTGGTAATGAGTTAATTTACATATATACATGCTGATATCTTTACATAAGTAGGGTATTAGTACAAAGATACAGCTATACCAAGGAAGCCAATGGATCTTCACCTGGGCAAGAGGTAGCCCCTAACTCTCCTCACAAACAATAACAAACTTGTTCTCCATAAAAGTGTCATTCATGTCTTCGTGCCTATCAAAGACGTATGTGTTCCACAAGCTCAATAGTGTAGTTGCCTGTTGTCACTGGGAACCTCAGCACATAGTTGCCCAGCAACCAGTACTTTCTAGAGGTGACCAGAATGGGGATCAGATGTCCACTGTGTCGGATGAGGGGGACTGTGAGTCTCAGTTGGCCTGGCTGATTTAGTGTGGCGCGGCGCCAGTACCATACAGCAGTTGTCCTTCCTTGCGATGTTGCTGTCTGTCTTGTAATAGGGCTGGGACAGGTAACTCGGGTCCTGGGGTTGGGGGTCCTGAATAGGACCCCGGTACCCACAGTACTACCCAGACCCATAGTTAGTCACGTGATATATTGTTTAATGTTCACTATGAGTCCATGGTTACACTACAAATCACTGTTTGTGTTTCTTTCTGACTATGCATGCATTACTTCTGACTTTCACATGTTTGAATACAGATAAAATTTCACTTAACCTCAGTGTGTGCATGACCAGATCATTTTATAGTGTACCTAAATATGTTTTTTCAGGGCTATGGTCAAACTATTCCCAATCGGACATTTTGTACTGGTATCACTTGAGACCTACAGCGGGTACCCGGGTAGGGTCGGGTAATATGGGTGTGGGTAGCCGGGAAGTAAATCTGGACTCGTTCCAGCCCTATCATTTAACACCCTATTCACTTCTACTTACACTGGCACAGAGTGATTGGTACTGACCACATGGGCACACAATGAGTTTTATAGCAATCTTGTTATGATCAGATCTATTACTCCATTAAGATACCTGCCATGTTCACTCAGGGTTCCCCTGATGCAATCTATGCAAGGGTTGTCACATCTTCGTGCAGAGAGAGAGGTGGTGGG